TTTAATTATTTTCAATCGCAGGTGAGCCTTGAAAATTTCCTACTTCAGAATATGTTTCCAAACATCAAACTTAATAATTTCCAACGAGAAACAAGATAAAAATAGTTGTATGTCATACTAATTTGTATTCGCCACGGTGCGGTGGAGTACTTAGTAGGGCATGGAACTTGTAAACCAGAGTTGTATTTGTAATCGAATAAAATAACAATAATAAGAAATAATTTTGAGTGATTTTGTAGGTTGTTTCTTGTTATGAAAGTCAATGGTAATTGTTCACAAATTAATCTTATTTTGAAATATTTTTGATACAACTGTTAAAAAAAGTATAGTATTGTACTCACGAGTAATGACATCACTTGCTTGAATTATTTAATACGTTTGCCTGGTGGCAAACTTCATTCTCGTAAATAATGACCACATATTTTGCTCGTTGAATAATACCCTATTTTGTAAAACTGCCATTAAAAGTGACATTTTTAATGGTTGTCAAGAGTTTTAAAAGATGATGTTTACAAAGTAGTGTTAAAAATACTTTTAACGCTATTGTTAAAAGTATTTTTAACACTATTTTTTTCGACCAAATAGCAATAAATAAAACATAATTATTCAATTTCCAAGGAAGTTTTATTATGAACAATAGATATAGATACAATTAAATTCTGTAACGAATGTATTATATACATTGAACACCGGCAAAAACTTCAAATGTGACTTTAAATGAAACGCGTGAGCTGTAAACAATACTGATTGTTGGTAACCAGGTGATTCATCGGCGTCACCTGACACGGCTACTTCACAGCAAATGCGATAACATGAAAATAGTTAACTGACAGGAAATGTCAAAATGTGTTTTTACATAAATATTTATTATGAAAACAGGACACTTATAAAAAACTGTGTATGATATTTGTGTTAAAAGTTTTATTTTTTCGGTTTTTTTTAGTTTATCACTCACAAAATAAAACCTTATTTTTGACACTCAAATCATAAATAGCTATTTTCAAATTAGCATTGTGACTCAACCTTTTATTTTATCTACATTCTGAATCTGAAAACCCGGACTATGTTAACTTTATTTGTGTTTGTCATTTAAAGTAAGGAAGACCGTGTCTTGGTACGAAACAGGCAAATTTATGAGACGAAGAGACCACGCGAATATTATAACGTGATTGTGGCATGATATATGTCATACCGAAGACTTTTAGAAAATCTTGATGCTTCGGATCGTTAGTAGTTAACCTACATTTGAACAAAGCCAACAGATGTTTTCACCGGTACATTGTCTAGTCTTGAGATGATATTTATTGGTTTTTGTTGTTCGATGAGGTAATTTTATTATTATTACTTGTTGCACATTTTGCGAAGACATGCATTGGACACAAGAGAGAAAATATATTTTATTGACTGGGTAGTAAAATACATATTTGAGTACCACGATCAAAATTGCCTGTTTGGGCCCCCACTTTTGTCAATTTTCCATGTTTTTGCAGTTAATTTGAATTTATTGATAAACCCCTCGAAACCCCTATTTCCTCTTGAAACCCCTATTTCCTGTTAGGGTGGTTTTTGTGGAGTAAATAGAAAATTTGAAAAAAAATCCAAAAGAACTTGATAGGTAGATAGAATTTGAACCTCTGGCGTAAAATGAATCTTTTGGATACATTTTTCCGACACCAAAACAAAAGTACTGTATCTTGACGAGCATTTCGCTGACCAACTTAGTCTCATCAGAAAATGACTAAAACGTGTGAGTCATATTCTGATGATGCGCTAACTTGGTTAGCGAAACGTGCGTCAACAGTCAGTATTTTTGTTCTATCAAAAATAATTGAAGTGTTTCGGTGATTTTCTCAAAAAAAAGTTCGCTGAGTAGAAAATGAAAAAATCTATCTTCATCAAAAAGGTCCAATCCAACCTCCCAACTCTACTCTTGACATTTCCCAAAAGTTTTTATGGGCTCGATAGAGAATGTAGAGTATTTTTCTCATATATTCTAGGTGGGAAATGAAGAACGAAATCATTTTGATAAAATTGTCCACCTTAAAATCCTCCACTTTACTTCATAGTCATTTTCCGAAAATTTGTGCTAAACAGGTATTCATTTTTTCGAATTCAATTTCTCATTCAGCCCAATAATAATGACAAATATTTTCGAAAACAAGCTTACACTAACATCTTCTGTAAAGAAGAAAAAGTTTTAAATTATTTCAACTGCTACCAATTCATTAAGGTATACATTTCACATAATATAAAAGTTTTGTTACACTTGCATATTTTATAAAAAAAAACATATTTTTTTCTTATAATTACTAATGTCAAGATCAAGTTACAAATTTTATTCTTATTTACATGCACATGTGAATCTGACGACAAGCTTTTATATCATATAAATTGTGTAATGTAATGTAATGTAATGTAATGTAAAACTTATTTTCTTATGTATTCAAGAGAAATCGTTCATATATTACTTATACTTCAATTGATTATTTATTTAAATAATATATGTTTCTTAAGAAATCGTTTTATGAAACAGAACCAGTTAAGTCATTTTGATTGATTTCAAGCAGTTTTCTTTTTGTTAACCCTATTTTTCAGGAGGGTTTAATAATATGTTATTTAGATGCGTTCTGTGTCGGAAGTGAGAACTAAATTTAGTGAAAACCATCAAAATTTCGATCTGAATACTTCAGTGTTCATTTTTATTTCAAGTAAGCAAGATATATAACTCTGCTCCTGTGGCCAAAAAATAGCAGTACCAAGTTTCAAAATGAAGTTCAAGGAAAGGTAGTGACGATTCTCACATTCATAGTTTGGGTAGGTAATGTATTATTGTATGAATAAGTACTAAGAAATACATCACGCAATTTTTTGGTGTTGACTGGAGAAACAATTCAGCGGAAAATGGTAGGTACCTACTTCCATAGATTGAAATTTGCTCCTTGCTGCTATTAAAAAATTTTCATTTTATTATAATGATTGGGTCTTTTGAAGAAATAAAAACTATTATCAATGTTATTATTATTTTCCCAAAGGATAAATTAGTCGAGTCCTGTATTATTATTATTATCATCAATATTATCCCCCAAAGCCCTGATATATTCGGGAGGGCTCGCCAGCCTTATCAACCAATGATACCGTGGAATGGGTTATCATAAGTTCCGGTTAAGATTTCTGCCTAAGTTCGGCAAGCCGACATGATTTTGAGATTCGAGAGTAGGGAGGGCATCATTCCACTAACGACTCCAATATCCAAAACAATCATACAATTATTTCGATACCGTGGTCTGGATAGAGTATGTGGAGTTCGAAGAAAAAAATTCCGATATTTTATTCGTTTTTCCTGCTCTTTTTGGGCGATATTCGTAATACCGTAAAAGTGCCGTGGTAGTGAAGCACTCTTAGGACCGCATTATAACGATGGATATAGGCTGATACCGTATATGCTGGACATGGACATGCTGACAGCAAGTGCATTAGGATATCAGGTGGCTCCCGGCAGGTCCTGCATCTTGTGTCGGAACAACTATACACATCAGGAGACTACGGTAACTGAGGCGTTGAAGACACCACCTGGCATGCCATGAAGAGCCCTCAATTTCCGACTTCAGCCTATTCGACAAGAGAAAAGCAATGATCATGTGCTTTAATGAGATGAAGTCTTCAATGTTGTTAGAGCAGTTGTTAGAACAGCGCTACGAGAGCTGTTCTAAAGAGGAATGTTAAAATTTCTGCTGTCTCATGGTCATGGACCATGTTGCATCTCCTATGATGATGTATCGAGGCTTTACGCAGATGATTCAGCTACTCCAAACGGGTAGAGTAAGATATTCACAGCAACGAGTTTGTTCTTTAGCGACAGTTCCGATGACCAGATCTGTTGGAGTTTGTGCTGATTTTTGCCGCGGAGAGTTTTTCACTGCTGCTACCTCTTGTGAGTGGCGTTGTTCCACCCCGAGACGTCTCTCCGGCATCCAGATGGTACGGGATGCTTCCATTTGCACATTTGTATGTCTCGAATTTCCATACTCTTCCACCATCCTCAAGGACTAATGGAAATCCTTTTCCCTAAAGGCATAAAGTTTAAAGTTATCCATATAGAACAAATGGGAGATATTTTGTCTCAGGTTTCCGGGGTTGCCAGAGAATACTTTCGATAATTTCTGAGTACATCGGATAATGGCAATTGCGAGATGCAGAAAAAAAGGGGACTAGGGGAATCGCCCTGAAATACACCCTTTCTGAAAGTGACCCACCCTGTTTGTACTCTAGTCTTACTAGATATTCTGGTGAAGCGGGTCCGGCAGAGTGGTAATAGTTGTTCAATGCATCTCACTATTTTGTCGGGTACAGCAAGGCATCTGAGCAAATGCAAGATCAGTTGTATCAAATGCCTTGCGTTGATCGATCCAGGCCATAGAGAGGTTACGTTTATATTGTATTTAGTCCTGCCTAACACATCTATCAATGGGCAGGTCCTTTTTACATTCAGCGACTCCTCTCTTCGACCCTTTCTGCTCATATATCCGTTCGAATACTCGGTTAACTGCGGTAAGCATTCGTATGCTCGTAAACAACTTATAACACAAATTAAAGCATGTTATCGGTATGTATTTCTTAGCTATCGACATATCTCTGACAACATTCAAATTTTACCATTCGAATAATTGTAATCACTAGAAAATTATCACATTCAGTTCAGAAAGAAAAGTGATTCAACGGATCTATTCGGTAAAATTTCCTGGTCAGTTTCGAACAGTTACAAATAGCAACATAATAATGTAGATTCCGTTTGAAATAAAACTGATTCCAGATATTATGTTAACGTGAATATGTAGACATTGGGAATAAAATACTTGGCCGAATTTATATAATAATGATTTATGTTTGATAGTAGTAGCCCTGTCTAGTATTGGGCCATGAGTGCGTAACTTTTGTGATATATTATCAATTAGTTTCAATGTAAACCCTGCTATTGATATTTCAGTGAATAGTATCAGAAAATGGACCCGCCAGCGCCACAAGTAGACATTAGACTGGAGTTCTTGGGCAATTTTGTTCAGAAAACATTGAAACTGAAACCTGAAAAATGGACACGAATGATGTCAATTGAGGAAAACAAATCCGTTATAAAGAAATTCTTGGAACGACCTTTTCCTATTCTTCTCGTGATTGTGCTTACTCAAACCGCCCAATTAGTAGCCTCGAATGGGTTTCCTTTAGCACAACTGAAGAGTAAAGGTGAATTACTTTTTTCTGCTTTTATTCAAATTTCTACATCGAATGCACGATTATAATTCACTACTCAATAACAGAAAAGTCCCTTTTTGCGCTGTTATTTTTTTCAGCTTTTGAGTTTCATCTGAATGAAATATTTGTAGAAAATCAACAAATTGTAACATGTTTTTAGTCAATTATACCTTTTTTATATTTTCATTTCAATGCTGAAAGCAAAATTGAAGTTTTTTTGGTTTATCTAAGCGAAAACTGAGCCTTCAAAAATTTTATCACTTTCCAGGAGTATACTTCATAAAGAAATCCCAAATACCTGTGTCCAAAACGGTACCTTCAGAATCCATTATATCTGGGGATCTTTCTTCGAAAATTATCGATCAGTTGGCATCTTTGGTGGATGAGGTAAGTGTTATATATTATAATCATGTAAGGTAAGCTGAAAAGTACCAAACCTTCAGTATTTAGAAAACATTAGAATACGGGTTTGGAGAACTGTCGGTTTACTGTCAAATAGGAATGAAGTTGTAATGTCAGATAATTCTTTGTAATAAAGTTTGATCTAAAAGTATTTGGTCTGTATCCGAAAATACATAACAGTAAGTAAATACTCTTGTTGGAGTTTTTTATTTCATGTTTGTGTGAAATAAATGAAAATATGAGATATACAATACACCGATATGAATTAATATTCAACAAATGAACCTGAGTAAATCTTCATTTCTAATAATATTTTAGTATGACAGATCTTTCATAACCAATATCAGTCATTGAAAAATTATCTCGATATTCCAACTCGTGCCATATCCCTCCCTGACATGATATTTGGCGCGACAAATCACCACCGAATACTATTACCAAATTGATATTTCGTAGTAATATGGTACTTCAATTCATTTTTAAGCTTTGGTTTATTGAGGCAATGCAAAATTTCGAGAGATAAGATCATTGGCGCCAAAGGCAAGAACATAATAATAATAAGTCCTTGGTGAAATGATGTCCTCTCTACTCTCGAATCTTAAAATCATATTGGCTTGCCGCACCAAGGCAGAAATCTTAGCCGCACAGATGCAGAAGGCTGTCATTCTTGGCGCACTAAGGCAGAAATCTTAGCCGCACAGATGCAGAAGGCTGTCATTCTTGGCTCACTGCGCTTGCTCAGGACAGATGATTCTCGGACCCAATGATCACTTACCCCACGGTGTGGGGAGTGGTCATTGGTTGATAATGCTGGCGCGCCTTCCCGACTGTATCGGGGCTTCGGTGGATAGGGCCTGACTAGCGCACACTACGGTGAAAAAAAAAATAATACCGAGATGAACTCGGTATAGTTTTCGACTCTGAACGAGGTGACCACAACTCTGTCACCGAGTTGGAACCCGTTCAGCAAAAAGCTCAGATAAAAGCCGCAGAGATCATCTTACTTCTGCGGAGACACAAGGATAAGCCAATGCATGGGGTCTTCTTCAATAACATTGGAGACCTTGGCTTATCAAAGCGCCTGACGTTCGCTTTTCTCAGGTCGAGTGGGCTGAAGTCGGAAACTGAGGGGTTCATCATGGCTTGCCAGGATGGTGTCTTCAACACCTTAGTCGACCGCAGTCGCGTGATGGGTATAGAGGTTCCTGACACAAGGTGCAGGGCATGCCGCGAGGCATGCCCTGCACCTTGCATGCTGTCGCGCCCTCCCGACTGTATCGGGGCTTCGGGAGATAGGGCCTGACCAGCGCACACTACGGCGAAAATAATAATAATAATGATTGTCTTCATTGTTTCCCAGCTATAGTAACATACAAATATTTAGATAAATTACAGAGCTAGTTGCTGATATAACAAAAGGCTCAACAACTCAGTTAGCACAAGTGCTACTGAGTTGTTCTATATTTTGTAACATGTATCGCTTTACTTTGAAATACAGTACCCAAATTGTCAAGTTATTCAACATCGAAGTCCATATCTCATTGATATAAACTTTGTATAATTTAGAGATTTCCTGAAAAACGTTTCCCAAAATTCCTGTTCGTATTCTCAAATCTCAAATTTATTTTTCGGAACATGCATTATTTCTTCTGCACAATGTGTTAGAACGTAGTCTACACAAAAATATATTTTTCTACTGTATATAGTTTCAGTTAACCCCTGAAGATGATTGTAGATACATACGGTCGATTTTTTTTTGTAATATGGTTTAAACTATTCAAATTTCATTTAATCAACTCCTCAATGGATCAACTCTAATCGAGGCGATCTATCATCATGACGTCACCATATAAACGTGATAAAAATTCTTCAATAAACGAGAAGATCAAACTGTTTGATCTTCCTCCTGAAGATGATCAGTTGGTGGTCGAAATACGTGTCGAGGGGTTAAAATAACGGTTTGGTGTTGGAAAAAACTCCATTAATATTCATTACTACACTAAAGGTTCCAAACAATGTATCACAAGCACTCATGTGATGACTATTAATTGAATATCAGTATATCACTAATCTAGCCTATATTTACCATTCCAGATTTTAGTCCCACTTCTTTCCAATCCGATGAACCACACTGAATGGCCAGCTGTTATAGCAAAAGACGTTCACAAACACGTCCACAGCCTTAAAAGCACGGTATATCAGGTAAAAGGCCAGGTAAATGGCCAAACCGTCCTTCCAATGCCAGTAGGCATAGATAAAGTTTTCGAGGTTGAGCGGTCACTCATAGAGAGTAATGGAGAAATTTGCGATTTGTATCTGAAGAGTGCAATCGAAGGAGTGATCATAAAGTGGTCAGCACAAATAAATGACGTTCTTTTGAACGATTCGTCAGAGAAATTGGCATCTAACGTCAATCCAGTTCCAGCTGTTGGTAAGTTCTTCAAATTCATTCTTTAAAAACAATTTGAAATGGAATATTATCCTGAGCTGCTACGGATCCAGTTGAATTTGAAATCTCATCTACAAGACTTGTAATTTCGCATCCTGAAACGACCAGTATAAACCAAGTTCATTTCTACACTTTAGCTGCATAAAAGTCTCACACAGAATTCATTGAATGGAGTATATCAGGATTTTGGGTATCACTATTTTATTTCAAACCAAACATAATCCAGAATTGAAAAAATTCAACACTCATTTGATCGGTTGTGATTCTAATGAATGGTCTCGCATAAGATTGAGATGGGAAATACTATCATCTCACAATGTTTCATTGTGGTATAATAGATAAGCTTGAGCCAGTCAAAATTGATAATTCACTTCAAATATTTCTCGAATTCAAAAAAAAGATTGTAAACTTGATGTGCATCTTTACTAACAGATTATTTAAATCATTTGCTACTTTAAACCTTTATATACCTTGTATGGTCGAAATAAGTTTAAAGCTGTGTAAACTATATTATTCACTTGCGACACATTCTCGAACACTACACTCTGTCCATCCAAGCAACGGAGTGATCCAAAATATTATCATGCATAGTGCACGTGATCTCCCAGACAAGGCTGATTGTACAGAGTCGCACTAAGGAATGACCAATATTTTTTCAATAATATGCGGCTGGGTAAAGGAAAATTGATCAAAGTTCATTAAACACAAGTTTGTGTGTTTAACATGAAATTAAATAAAAAAAATGGGGTCATTTTGCTTCAGCAGGACAAACGGGTGAACAGTTTTCTATTTCAAAATTGCGATTTGGCGTATTAATTAAAAATAATAATGATAAAATAATAAATCCTTCTGTCATTTTATACCGAATACTCAGATATTGAAGAATTGCTACTAAAAGAATCATCATTAAAATCAATCATCAACGGATTCTTGTCAACTAAATCATCTTTCAGATCTAATCTAAACATTTTCATTTCTATTTTATCTTTCACATGCCGTACGCAATTATTCCATTTTTCAGCGATAATAGACGAAACAGCTCCACTAAAAATATTTTGAAGATCACAATTTACTTTGCCATCATAATTTTTTATGTCCGCCCAAATAAGCTCTATAGGTTGAGCTTGCATTGCTAAGGGGGGAGACGTAATCTAGCAGACCACTATTATAATCTTCATGCTGTCATTGTTCACTGTGTTTCTGGCGTTGAATCTGGTCATCATTTCACAAAATTTCATGATGGTACTTATCTAGGATGAGTAGAGACTATTCAGAAGGGTGTGCTAATCATCAAATCAGCGTAATATGCCGTACGGACTGCGATACGAATTTTTATAGTTAGGAAAATGAAAAATGCATATTTTTCAATCTACGATGAGTACCCCCATGAAATTCTGTGAAAGACTATTCAGAGGGGTGTGCTAACAGGGTGAATCATCAAATTAGCGTGACATGCCTTACGGACTGCGATACGAATTTTTATTTTTCGAAAAATAAAAAATTATTATTTGCCAATCTACGATGAGTACCCCCATGAAATTTCGTGAAAGACTATTCAGAGGGGTGTGCTAATAGGATGAATCATCAAATCAGCGTAATATGCCGTACGGACTGCGATACGAATTTTTATAGTTAGGAAAATGAAAAAAAAACATATTTTTCAATCCACGATGAGTACCCCCATAAAATTTCGTGAAAGACTATTCAGAGGGGCGTACTAACGAACAATAAAAATTCGTATCGCAGTCCGAACGGCATATCACGCCAATTTGATGATTTACCCTGTTAGCAAAACCCTCTGAATAGTATTTCACAAAATTTCATGGGAGTACTCATCTTAGATTGGAAAATACGAATTTTTTATTTTCGAAAAATAAAAATTCGTATCGCAGTCCGTACGGCATGTCACGCTAATTCGATGATTCACCCTGTTAGCACACCCCTCTGAATAGTCTTTCACAAAATTTCATGAGGGTACTCATCGTAGATTGGAAAATACAATTTTTTTTATTTTTCGAAAAATAAAAATTCGTATCGTAGTCCATACGGCATGTCACGCTAATTTGATGATTCACCCTGTTAGCACACTCCTCTAAATAGTCTTTCATAAAATTTTATGGGGGTACTCATCGTAGATTGGAAAATACGAATTTTTTATTTTTCGAAAAATAAAAATTCGTATCGCAGTCCGTACGGCATGTCACGCTAATTTGATGATTCACCCTGTTAGCACACCCCTCTGAATAGTATTTCACAAAATTTCATGGGGGTACTCATCGTAGATTGGAAAATACAAATTTTTTTATTTTTCGAAAAATAAAAATTCGTATCGCAGTCCGTACGGCATGTCACGCTAATTTTATGATTCACCCTGTTAGCACACTCCTCTGAACAGTCTTTCACAAAATGTCGACCTCTTGGTAGATCAGGATCGTCGTTTACAACTTTTAGAACTGAATCTATTGTTGACATTTCGTTTCGAAAAAAAAAGATGTATTTTCCTTCTAATATCGTGTTAATCATAATCGTCTACTTTATCAATAATTTTCTCTCGTGAGTGATGTAGTTTTGGAGCCGAAAAAGAATGCTTTTGTTTATATTCCCATAAGACTTGCAGGAGACACTCCAGCAATGTTTTCTACTTTTCTCAAGATTCCATCAACGGACAATGAAGGATTTGCTTCAATTTGATTTTTGTAAATGTTCATAGTTACATTTTTATGTAGTAGTTTCTTATGCCGTATCAGCACTTGAGATTTTAAAAATTTCAATTTCTAAAATAACGTAATATGTACACACCACAGCCGTTAAAACGTAACTGACTACTAAAACACTGTAACGATTAATTTCGTCAGCCGATTGCAGTTGAATCTGATTGGCCAGCGTGAGGAGGCTTCTTTATTTTACCCAATAGCATGATCACCAAGCAAATATGCGTGGTGATCAGCATGCTTTGATCAAGCATCTATCGTTGTTTGGGTTGCTTTGTTTGTTGGATGACCAGGATTAGAAATCTAGTTTCAATTTTCAATAACATGATCATTTCTTATTCTTTCCGAATTCATTTTATTTCAAAGGGTTAGTCTCATTAATACCGTATGGACAAGTGTCACTTTTGATTCAAAACCGGTATATAGTTTGATAAACAATTGAAGAAGGTGATTAATTTGCATGATAAATGTTAGGCTACACCTATATTGGATCCGTATTTCTCCCGACCCGATGTCGGACGACCATCGGACGACATCGGAAGAAAAACAAACACTCAAGTTTTAAAGGCTGTACCTATATTGAATCCGTATTCATCCTGACCCGATGTCGGACGACCATCAGACGACATCGGAAGAAAAACAAACACTTAAGTTTTAACTTAGGTGCCTTCATTAGAAAGGGCAGTCCGATACGACAATAAACGATCACTACCGACTACTGACCGACGAGTAGCCAAATCAAGTGTTTGTTTTTGGTCCGATCTTCTATTCTGACGGAGTGGTAATAATGAATTATAAAATTTATAAAGAGTTTTTGATAATTCTTGTGAGAGATGAGCCTCACTTGTGGGACCAGCGAAACAAGGATTATCATAACCGTGACATTCTATGGGAGGTTATTGGGGACCAATTACTGGTAAAAGGTAAGTATAAACTATGTTTTTAATGTTAAGTTTAAAATTACCACATGCTAGTACAAATAACTACTAATTGTAATTGCATAATCAATTATATCACTTTAAAAGATAATATTAAATAGAAAAATAATTAATTGATGTCACTCAATGCGTTCGTTTTGCCACGGAACTGCCCCGATTCCGTTGAAGTACAGTTTGAATGTGTGTCTGATGAATTGAGCCTGTTTAACCTTCTTGATGAACTACTCTGATGAAGTGGTGATTCGATCAAACGGTCTTGTAATTTCGCAGAGCTGAAAAAGTCACCACCTTCACGGTCAATAATTTTATTGTGTAGTAAGCAGATACATTTTACTATCCTCTCTGCTTCTTCAACCTCGTTTTCAACACATTTTCCTAGTAAACGCCACTTAGCGGCATAATTCCAAAGGCACACTCTATGTATCTTCTAGCTCTTGATAGCCGATAATTGAAAACCTCTTCGTATGAGATATGTCGTTTTGAGTAAGGTTGAGATGATAGGCATCATCTCCAAGCATCACATATGGCATATCTGTAGCAATTCCTTCGACAGGTGAAGGTGGCGGTAAAGTATCATGACAGTTCTCCGAGAACGTAGACAAAGTAGAAACGGAAAAAGTTCCTCCGTCACTCTGTTTTCCATACTCTCTACATCTCTACATCTACAAAAATAAAGTGACAACGGTAATCTGCAACAGCTTGTAGAACTATCGAAAAAAGCTTTTTGTAATTAAAATAGGTAGTTCCACTTTGTTTTGAACATGTAATTCTAATATGCTTGCCATCAATACATCCAATGGCATGAATAAAATTCCACCGCTCATGGAATCCTACCGCTATTTCTTCAAATTTGTTCTGGTCAGGAATAGGTAGGTGTTGCTGATAAGAAATTTTTCCATATTGCATCCACAACTGACGAGACACATTGGCCAACTGTGTAGTCATTCATTCGAAATGTTAAACCTAGGGACCTAAATGACATTCCCGTCGCTAAGTATCTAAACCTGTAAAACCAAATGGCTATATTTAACATAAGATTAGGGGACGGTTTCGTAGGGATACAGTATTTTGTACTTCAAAGTTAACCTATATACAAAAGATAATTATTGTCATTTTTTTTTATACTTTTCTTTTTTTCAGGAAATACAAAATACACCATGAAACCAAGAGCGGTCAAGACGCGTCTGCTACAGATAAATGGCCTTTTTTAAGAATATGCTGTTTTTGAAGGACATTATGACTCCTAGAGACAGCTCAGAAAATTTGCCTGGTAAAATAAAAGAAAGTGAACTTTGTTTTCGTGACCGAAGCCCCTCCACCATGGATGAGGAAAGTACAAATCAACCAGATATTTATCCTTTTCCAACAGAACCAGAGGCATCCACTTCATCCGCCAAACCTCCAACCCATGGACCAAAACGTAATTTAAAAAAAATTGATTACGATTCACAGGCGCTTGAAATTGAAAATAGAAAGGTAGACTTGATTCAACAACATATTTCTCGAAAAACAAATAACTACCAAAATGATGAAGATTACTTTTTTTTATAAGTTTAATCCCAACTGTTAAGCAACTCAATCAACTAGAAAAAATGAAGCTCAGAATGAAAATTTTGGGAGACGTTACTCAAGCATTGGAAGCTCATAATATTGCAAGTGGAATGAGTTCGTCAGGAGCCATATCATCACCTTCTGATTCTCACTTGTTATCATTGCAATCATCTCCTTATTTGTCACCAAGTGAATCCGATTACGTACGAGATTCACCTTCTTTTACCAATTTAAATCAAGGACCTCAGCCTCTGATACAAACTGTTCAGCAACATAGGAGCTTGGAGCTCGGATTAAATAATTATTCAAATAATTATGACTTATAATGTTACATTTATTTGGAATTTGATTTATTAATACTATCTAATATTACAGTGAAAAAATTTTGATACATTAAAGTTAATTGCGTTCATTCACCTTATTGTTATAGTAAGTTTTTCTTCGGGGCTGATGTTGAAGTTGGACCGGCCAGTTATGTCGTTTTTTATGCCTTCAAGAATATAGTTAAACGTTTCCATAGTCATATAATGGTAGTCCTTAAATTTATCCGGGTAGTTTCTTATAAGTAGGGAAGTTTTGAAAAATTCCCCTTCAGATTTATCTTTATTAAACTGATGCACCCATACCTTTTTCCTACGTTTCCTATTAAGCAGAACATTCTTTTCTTGTATAAGCCACTACAAAAAGTCATCTTCAGAGTCACTCATAATCACCCCCAAAACAAATCTTCAACTTTAACCTATCGGGTCGAACTGAGTCCAGTGTAGGTAGTTACAACGGACTGCATCGGATCGCGTGGCGTCCGATGATCGTCCCACATCGAGTCGGAGAAATACGGATTCAATATAGGTGCAGCCTTTAAAACTTGAGTGTTTGTTTTTCTTCCGATGTCGTCCGATGGTCGTCCGACATCGGGTCGGGAGAAATACGGATTCAATATAGGTGCAGCCTTAGTCGGACCAAATTGCAACATTGTGATCGTCCTAGATATGTATCGGGTAACGTAAGTACACGAGATTTTCGACTGAGTAGACGTGATTCTGAACAAATATTATTTACGAATCACCTTCTTCAATTATTTATCGGACTGTGGTTCGTAAAACTCAAAAATCCTGTTGGTTAATTACAAATGAAAAAAGTACTTCATCATAACACTTTCATACTATGGGAAAAAGTTTTCATTGAAACACATGATCAACAAATTATCGTCATTTAATGTTTGAAACTTCTAGAGTTACAGTTCTGGAGCCAGCGGCTGAAAAACCTCCAGTACATCTACGAGCAACTGAAGGAACCTAAAGTGAAGAGTATGGCTGTCGTTTTAGAGAAAACAAATAGCGCGTACTACAGTTGCTTCAAAAATCTTTTTAAAAGCACTGTGGTGGCCCTATCCGAAGCTAAAGACGTCAATTTGTATTTGTCTCCACTGAAGAAGCACATTCAAGCCTTGGAAGAGACCGATTTCAGCGAATGCATTCCACTTTTGGCTCCCACGATGCATGTCATCTGTTTGATATGGGTGAACTGCAAATCGTACGATCAAGTCAAGCTTATAATTCTGTTGAAACAGATCTGCAATCTGTTGATACAAGAGGTAAGAGATGAGGTTTCAGAAATTCGAACAAAAACTTTTCAAATTGGAATTCAAAATTAATTCATAGATTTAAAATTCAAAAGTGATGTGATATTAGCTAACAGTTCCAATAATAATTAGAATTCAATTGTAAACTTCAATATTCAGGAAATTCAAGATGTTATAAAATTAGTTTGAAAGTGGTTGACAATGTTTCGTGGTACATTTTATCAGTTCGGACTTCTATTGTCTAATATGATATAAACTGATTTGAAATCCCTGAAAAAACCTGTAAAAAATTAGAAAGATTAGCTGAAAAAACAATTATATTAAGCAAAAAAAAGTGAAACTACAATGAAATGAAAATTAAAAAATTATCAACAAGAAATGAAAATTAAAAATTAAAAGATAATGTCGTCGTGAAGTTACTTCACGACGTTTTGATTGATGGTATCCACATTCGTGTTCGGGTGATAAGTGGACTTATTCCAACATCCATCTTGGTTTAAACTGGTTGGAGCCTGGATCCCTCAACCTTTCGACTGATGACTGGACTTATTCTTTCCAGATCTGAGTATTTATAGCTCATTCGAGTGCTTTCACCTATCCCCTCTTCCCTCTTTCCTCTTCATCGGTTTTAGCGGGAGCTGACCGTTTGGCGGGAGTTGCTCATGTTCCGCTTGATTAGAAGTTTCCATATGTTGCGTATCTCTACGCTAGCTTGGCTAAATGCGTTGTTGGACAACATTTATGAGGCTTCTTTGAAATTTCTCCTAAACCTATTTTCCTTCTTGTCGATGATTTCAGCTTGAGCCAACTTGATATTATGTTGATGAGTCCAAACATGCTGTGCTATTCTTAATGCTCTGCTATTTTTATTTTTTTACAGATTCTTTCAGGGATTTCTAATCAATTTATATCAGATTAGACAATGGAAGTCCATTATAAAATAAGGTCATTCAAAAACTTCATATTATTTAAACCGATGAAGCCGAGGAAAGCAAATTTTCTATGACAGGAAATATGCGCTTTTTGGAGATTATGACAATTTCTAAAAAACAGGATTGATGATTTTTTTTCACCTATTGTACTATGATAAAAATAGTTTCAATTTTCTTTTTAAGAAAATCGATGTTATTGACATGAACATTGACTATAATATACTGAGCAAATTTTTTCTGTTTTTTTTCTAGAAAGAATAATTATTCTTTATATGGTTGACTTAGATCCTTCTTCGGCCTAAACAAGATTTATAAATAGAATAATAATAGAAATATATCACGTGTTGCGTCGCTAGAAATAATTTGGAATTGAGATTTCATTTCAAAACCTTTTAATGGAACTAAGGTTGGAAATTCCACGGCTTGTGGGCCTGCAGTTTGGCCGTCACTTCAATAGCATAATAAAATTGTCCAGACAGATTGAAAAGGTCGACAGCCGCAGGCTCATACAGTGTTATCCCCAAAGTATGCACCATATGGGAAACTTATTTATTAAGGGTTTTTCGACAAAAAGTTATTCTTGATAAAAGTTTGTGCATCCCCTAAAACTGTACATGCACCAACAAAATACAGTAAATCACACGTAATATACAAGGAGCCTTCAAATATTTGATTTTGTGACAGGTGTAAAGTATTCTTACTTTGAAAAACCTCGGGAAATGTTATTTAGAAAAGGTGTTCTTCTAGTCAAGTCATGACCATCTAAGTGAAGTTTTATTTTTTTACTATTTTTTTTAAAATATGGACTACGAAAAAAATTTTTACGAAAACGATAAATGGACAGCGTCCTGTATACGAAGGTTCATTTTAAAAGCCTGCAATATTACGAATAACACAACTATATTGTTAACCACGGTCAATTTTTTTGAAGAGTAAAATAATTTTCAGTTTTTGGTGCAAAGTTATTTTTATTTTTTGTTAACACCGAAAATTACCTAAAATTATACAATATTGTAACAAAAACTTAATATTCAATAATATCAAATCACAAAACATAAAAATAAAATAGGTATTTTGGAACAAACTCAGTGATTTTCTGGAGATTATTTTGAAGAATTATTTTGGACAAGAAAATCTCCAGAAAATCAACGAGTTTGTTTCGAAATACCTATTTCATTTTGATGTTTTGTGATTTGATATTATTGAATATTAAGTTCTTGTTACAATTCAGTAGCATTTTGAATAATTTTAGGTGTTAACAAAAAAAAATAACTTTGCACCAAAAACTTTAAAAATCATTTCACTCTTTAAAAAAATTGACCGTGGTTGACACCATAGTTGTGTAATTCGTAATATTACAGGCTTTCAAGATGGACCATCGTATACAGGATGCTGTCTATTTTTCGTTTTAGCAATTTTTTTTCGTAGTCACCATTTGAAAAAAATGTGTAAAAAATAAAACTCCGCTTGGATGGCCGTGACTTCAAATCTAGATGTATTTTTCAATGCTGAACAACTTTTCTAGATAACATTTGACAAAATTTTTCAAAATAAGATTACTTTACTCTTGTCTCAAAATCAAATATTTGAAGGCTCCTCGTATATTACGTGTGTTTTACTGTATTTTGTTGGTGCATGTTCAGTTGTAAGGGATGTACAAACTTTTATCAAGAATAACATTTTGTTGAAAAACCCTCAACAAATAAGTTTTCCATATGGTGCATACTTTGGGGATGACTCTGTATAATTATAAAATTGTGAAAATTTTAATCTTTCCTACCCTGAGTGCTAGTAAATATTTGGCAAAATTTATTCTTATTATTCTTTTTAATACCTTGTTGTAATGCCTATTAAAATGACAAGGGAAACATTTTTATCATTGTGAAATTGCAATCTTTTTCTTGAAAGTATACGGTCTGGGACATCTAGCCGTATGTTATAAAACCTCGCTAATGCATTTTCTATACAAGTAGTGGGTTTTTATAAATGCCCATTTATTATAATTCATGTAAGGTGCAGGCCCAGTCAGATGCTTGGCTTTTCCTGCCACTCTTAATTCTGTACCGCCCTGACTTCCCCAGCTACTTTCCTGATTGATTAATTTTCCTCGCCAAAATCGTTCCACCCCAAAATTTTGACTTTTCCCACTCATCATACCTACGGTCCAACCATTGTAGCGAATACTCGCTTTCAAATAAACTCAGAGTATATTAATTGTTCGTATTTTCAATTTGGTACAAGTCTTATTGATAGACTTGTACGTACCTGTCCTATGAAGTTACCCTACAATTCTTATGCACAATTGTCAGTTTTGGAATGTATAACATAATTATTATTATTCGTAATATCACAACTGGTGGTAAACTAATCGTGAGTCAAACATTGAGAGTGGCTAGTTTTGAAATGAAAGTCTGTATTTTTATGTGAAAATATTTAAAAACTTATCTATTTCAGGCTAAAAAATTTCTAGACCCAACTACATTATTCCACAGTGACATAGATGAGGCGATGCTGAGGGTGAATCACTGTTTACAAGCACTCAATCAGTTTTCTTTCGTTTTCAAAATGTACAAACAAAATTTACACAGATTTCGCAAGGACGCCGAGCCAGAACCTTGGAATTTCCATTCCAATATGGTTTTTCAGAGATTCGATGCGTTTGTGGAAAGACTCAAAACGATACGTTGGTTTTTCAATACCGTGCTAGAATTTAACAAGCTCGAAAAAGTTGAAATCGGAGGTATAAAAGGGAGAACTCTGAGTTCTCGCGTAACTGGTGTTTTTCATGAATTCCAGCAATGCTTTGCACTCTTTTCTGGAAAGTCCTATGATGTGCTTGATCCTGATGATCCTTCATTTGTGTCAGATTTTGAAAATTTCAAACAGAAGATAGTGGAGATGGACATGAAACTAGCAGCTATTTTGTGTCAGGCATTCGAAGACTGTTCTAACTTGGACAGTATATTCAAAGTAAGAATTTTCCTATTTGATTTAAATATGTTAATGGATGTCTTCCGATGTAGCTCATTAGTATTGCCGGATCTGTGCTAGACAGACCACTAATAAAGGATGAATTCACCAATAAGTACGAGAAGATTTTAGATATGTTAGAGATTGAGATCAAAATGACTGAGGTAGGTCAGTGGTAAATAGAAACAGGTACAATTTTTGAAATATTGAATAATTTTTTTATTATTTTATTTCAAGGCAATTTTTGAAGAACAAATGCATCATAAGGAGAAAACTGGACAGTTCATGTTGGACAAATATATGCCTCCAGTGGCAGGGACATTGCGATGGACGCGTAATTTATGCTCCAGGCTTACAGGTCCCTTAACAAACTTCAAATCGTTACAGCACCCGTAAGTAAATATTATCTTTTTTGGGATGTTTGACATATTATATCAGAGTAATTGTTACACCAACATGGATGATTGGCATCCTCATGAGCACTGTTAATTAACGTTCCTCTTGGCATATTATTTCTCTCACCAGTGAATATGTTCGCGTTTTCAACATATCACTGTGCATAATTTTCCAAAATTATCAATAGTCGGTAAAACTTATCGTGATTTTCCGCCGTGTCGACATAGTAAATAACAAAAATGATCGAATTTTGTGATTTCATTACCACTTAAATCTTTTTGTCTATAGATCTAATTGAAGTTTGACTTCGCAGTTAGTTTTTGTTAAAAAAATTAATAAATATGAGTTCTATTTTAGTCGTCAAATTTGAAGTTTTTTAAAAATATTTTCAAAATATTGGGTTACTTTTCGACATTTCCAATAAAGTCTCAAGGAAAGAAATATTCCGTTCTCAAATTTTATACCTCTTCACCGTGTTTCTAATATTTTCTCGACTCGAAGCTCGGCTCGGCTAGACTCGAAGTTCGGCTCGGCTCGAGTCTCGGCTCAAAATCGATAGATACCAAAAGTTGTGAAGTGGTTGTCCATCTCGTGAAGAAAAATAATATACAGAATGGTCAAAACAGTATCTAAAATTTTTTTGTTCGATTGATGACCTATTTATTTTGTAGAAATGAATATTGGATATAGGATAAAGAAAGTTTATTTGTTACGATCGGTTTCGGTTTTTAGGCTATTCTCAGGTAACTGAGATTGAGCAATGAGAACTACCCCAACAGCTGCATTGGAGACACTCCTGAATCTACCTCCTTTACACTTTGTGATACTGGGGGAGGCCTGGATGGGCCAATTCAGACTATAAAACTCACCGAACTACAAAAGATCGGACCGAACAGAAATTTCGGAAAAAGTGGAGGAGCACATATTGAATATGTGCACGGACCACATGACACCGAAGTACACCTTTAACACAAACTTCAATACCAAAATCATTAGCCGTGAAGTGTGGAAGACCATTAGTCATCCCGAAAACCTGTTTGGAAAAAACACGGTATACAGATGGATCGAAGACCAAACATGGAACGGGAGCTGGAATATACCGAGCGGATAGAAATTCAAACTACAGCTATCCGCTAGGACTGTACACATCTGTCTTTCAGGCGGAAGTGTATACTATCTTGCAGTGTGCAAGGCTTATTAAATTGAAACCTCAAAGAAATGAGCGGATCAATACTTTAACAGACAGCAAGAGCACACTAGGGGCTCTGACAAACCCGAAGGTGACATCAAAACTGGTCTGGGAATGCCATGAAGAACTGAATGAACTCTCAAACAGGAACAAATTAACTTTGTACTAGGTGCCAGGGCATTCAGGAATCACAGGTAATGATAAAGCTGATGAATGCGCTAGACGCGGATCATCAACTTCATATATAGGTCCTGAACCAGCTCTGGGGGTACAAAAATCATTGGTACGAAACCAGATTAGAACATGGACCAATAAGAAGCACACAGAGTACTGGACAAAAGTACCTGGCAACAAACACAGTAGAACCTTCATTAGGGAACCGTCCGAGAAAATAACCGAAGAACTACTTCAATACAGTAGGAATCGGTCCAGAATAATAACAGGGTTACTAACCGGTCATTGTCCGCTTAGAGGACACCTGAATAAAATGGAGCTGTACAACGGAGACCTCAGCTGCAGATTATGCAACGAAGGGATAGAAACCCCTCTACACATCTTATTCGAATTTGAGGCACTGAATCACAGGAGGCAGGCAATATATGGACGTATGAAATTACGACCAGAAGAATATGACGAATATCCAACACGGAACCTGTACAAACTAGTACAGGGAACGAGACTGATAATATTGGGTGTCATGAGAAGATGTGAGAATAAACGCAAAAAGCCCAAACGGCTGCAGTGTTTTCTGGAGATTTGGACTAAATGGACAAGTTAGACAGCTCCCAAGGTACCAAAAAAAAAACTGAGATTGATCTAACAAATCGAATCCGGTCGTAACAGAAATCAGACAAAAGGTATTTTCTTTATCCTATATCCAATCTAAAATTATAATTTATTTTCCAAAATATTCCCATATCTGACGGTATAAATTATATCGGTATACATTTTATACCGACTTTCGTGTTTCTGATATTGGAAATGGCAGGAGTAGCCCACCATAAGAAGGTGTAGCCCACTTCTTCTCCTCTTTGATATACAATTTCGAAAACCCCCAAAAATCTCCGAAACTACACCCCCAAGAGAAGTCTCGTTTTGTATCTAACAAAGAAGATCAGTATCAAGTTCATGCTTTTAACGTTGAGAATATCGAATGAAAGTAGGATTTGAAAAACCCAGCTTTCTAGTATTTTTTCAGCATAAAAAAGAATGAATAGAAATGAATAAAAGCTCAGATCGGCTCGATTTGTCTCGAAGCTCGGCTCGGAATCGAGCCGGGGATTCAGAAGTCGACCCGAGCTTCTAGCCGGGCCCAGGTTTTTGAAGTCTAGCCGAGCCGAGCTCAAGTCAAAGCTAGTTTGTTCCTGAATTTATTAGTGATATGAAGGTTAAGGTTAGTCGAAAAGTGATAAAAATCGTGTTCCAGTTGTTAAGGATGATTTCATACCGTTCAGTCAGCCTTCCAGTTATTCAGCATGGTGCACTATGGGGAAACTCTTTCTCTATTAGTATTACCAACGTGCCATCCCTTAATGCCAGAGAGTTTCTAGCGGTTGATTATTATAAAATCCATTTTGATAAATCGGACCATAAACAACTATTAAATTTCCTCAGTGACATGAATGTATTGAACAAAATTCAAATGACATTATAACATTGTAATAATGATACATACTTGTAAACGACATTCAGCTAATAACCCTATGTGGTTGAAGCTAAATAAATAAAAAAAAATGATTACGTTGTTGCGGTAAAAAACTGATCGCACATGACCATTAACGACTGAATCATGATAATGCGTAGCCTAGGTGGATGATTTGTCAAAAGGCACTCACCATACAGTCCAGATTTAACCCTTAGCGATTTCTGGTAGTTCCCGAAGTTGATTTTCTGTAAGGAGTCGCAAATTTCAGACCAAGATATTCGTGTTTAGAAAATGAGAGGTATGGTGCAAAAATTTATTATAACCTAAGATTAGTTCATAAAAGAGTGGACATCAGATTTTGAAGACAAACTAAATATTTCTGTAGAGCATTTTTATCATCACTTCTGGACGGAAAGAAATATTTGACACTTCTGCTACAAATCGTTTACGCTAAAATTTTAATCCTCAAAAATAGACTTACGTTCAATCGAAATTTTTGACTAGAGTAAAGGTTAGAAGACATTTTACTTTTTTTAAAGAATATATAAATACCACCCTCTATGATGTCTATTTCATTTCAAACTACAGAAATATTATATGCGAGGTTATTATTGTTTAAAGTAAGACGTTAGTATTCAATATCGAAGTCACCCAAAAAAACGTATGAGTGATCGCGTACCTAGTAGCTTCAGGTAAATTATGCTTCTACAGACAAATTATGTTTTCATCGGATACTTTTTCACTAATTTCCATTTCAGGATCGTACAAAGCGCCAGATCTTGCGATTTAATCTCTAGGGCGGAATCTTTCATAGATATGATCAACGAGTTCAATTCGAGAATATTCAACGAATGGGCGGAGTCCGTCCCTTCTCAGATAGAAAATAATTTGAAAAAAAGCCTGTTGAAGCGGAATAAAAAAAATAAAGAACTACTTCTGAATTTCAGTCCTGAGGTGAGTTCATCCCAAAGAAATAACTGAAACTGTTGTCTTATTTTTTTAAAGTTAACTGCAATTCTGAGGGAGGTGCATTACCTAAAACTAACTAGAGAGTTGAATATCCCTAAGATAGTATTGAACTTAGCGGACAGAAACGAAGTGTTTCAACAATACCTCTCGAGCTTGAACTCTTCGATCACTTGGTACAATAAAATTAAGAAAACTTCCAAAGATGTTGAGTTCGATTTGATTGAGAACAAAGTAGCTGAAATAGACAAGATGGTAAAGATCGGAGAAGAAAATCTGATTTGGGAATCACAAGGTAATATCTCAGTTGAATAATATAAGCAGTAGGCTATCTTACCACGTGATCCGCCTGAGTTGCCGGGCACCTTCAACCTTTCTTAGAATGAGATTCTCATCCAACGCGTTCAGTGCTGTAGTATCGAAGGATTATACGGTACTACGGGCATCGGATTAGTTATAATAAACGGTCGGAAATTGATATTGTGTTTAGTTTATTCGCTGTTGTTATTATTGTTTTAGTTTTTATTGTTGGTTATTGATGTTATATGAGGGCACGCCTTTGGTAAAAGAACGAAATTGGCTCCGCACTTCGTTTCGAGGTCACCGAGAACATTGTGAATTTATGAATGAAAGTAGTGGGAGTGGACTTGATGGTTGATTTTTACTGTAGTATAATCATCGATCTTGAAAGTTGCAAATTCTTGTAAACGAAAACACATTATTGCATGACAAAGATTTGTAAGAATTAGATAACACAAACATGAATTGAATTCGGAGCTCAAAAACAAAGCACGATCCAACAACAGAAAGCTCTGGTTTGACCTGTCATAGGTTTCACTAATGATGATAGGCTGAAACAGCATTTGTTTGAAGGTGGTTGACAACGTTTCACGATGAATTACATTATATCGGACTTCCATTGTCTAATATCATATACTATGATTTGAAATCCCTGAAAGAACAAATAAAATTGAGAATTAAAATGAATAGCTGAAAATAACGATTATATTAAGCAAAAAACCCTGAAATGAAATTATAATAAACTAAAACCTGGAATACCTGAAAGATAGAACGAAATTACCTATAGAAGTAATCATGGAATCACTTGGATGCTGTGTACGAAACTGCTATTTCCAACTGAAGGACAAATTCTTCACGCAAGATGAGAGACTGCCAATGGGATCGCCACTTTCGCCATTGAACAAACCCACAAGAAGCCCCGAGTCAGGTTGGGTTACGATGCGAAGACACCTTTATGTAAATACAGAACTAGACACCTTTCTGAAGCACATCAACAGCGTAAGACCTTCCATCACCTTCACAATGGAGAAGGAAGTCCACAATGAATTGCCATTCTTAGACGTATCGGTGAAGAGGACCGTGTTTTTGAGGAAACTTTCTTATTCTAGTAATGAAAGAAAACACACATATAGTGCGCCATTATTTGATCAATATGATTCATAACATTGAAAAATAACATTATCCTGAGGTGGATTAAAGGGCACGAAAGGAGTAAAGGTAATCGCATTGCCGATTCTTTAGCCAAGGAAGCGGCTGGACTAAGAATTTTAGGACCAAGTGGCACCCACGGCCTGATGACTTCGACAATTGCGGAACTAGTCAAATGTTACACCCATGCTCAATCTTTAAAGAGATGGGATGAAATCAAAGGATGTAATCTTGCCAGGATCACCTTGGGCGACCCTGGGAAGCTGGCGCCGAAAAAATATCTGGTGATGACCAGGAAAAATTTACGCCTTACAGTAGGATTTCTGACTGGCCACTGTCAGCTAAGGAAACACCTACATAATATGGGGCTAGTGGACACACCTCTATGCAGGATGTGTGAACAGGAAGATGAGACTGTCAGGCATGTCCTGTGCGAGTGCCCGGAGTTATCGTCAATAAGAGAGTGTGTGTTCGGCGAGTCTTGGCCTACACCTGCCGATATAAAGGAGATGTCTCCCAGCGACCTGTCCACCTTCCTGGAAAGGACAGGATGGACGACGACCTAGGAGGACAACTCCTTGGGAGGATGTACAATGGGTCACATGTGGCCTAAGTGCGTGGGCTTACACTCACCCTCCCTACTCTACAGATACAGAACATTGAAAAATATTATGAGTCCATTCAGTATTGTATACTTCAGATGTTGGCGTTCCAAAATTATCAATGAAAAGAATATTATGTTTGCATAAAAGCAATTCTACTGGAGTGATAAATCATTATCTATTGCCAAGATGAAGTTTTATTTCAAATTAAAAGTGAGGGGGCATGAAAAATTGTTTCAATTGCGTTTTTGATAGTTTCAATAAAAATGTTTTTCTGTTTGAAATAAATGAATTTGTTGTTATCAGTTGTGGACTGAACGGCGAGATACACTTTTTTCATAGAAAGTCGTTATCTTTCCAGCACAATCCAAATCTTTTCAACTATTTGAATTTTACTAGATGAGAATGCATTATAAAATTGATCTCTGTGAAGGGCTCACTTCACCATCACTATCAAACTTTTTGCAATTTATTTATTTTTTAAATAATGGAAAATATATTTTGTGTGGAAAGTTAACAACAACTGACAACAACACAACATCATTTGTATTTTAGATTTGTGGAACTATATGACAGAGTTGCACAACTCGGTTGGCAGGCTGCAGCAGCATCTCCAGAAGTGTCAAGATAATCTGAATGAAATCAAACAAATATTGATACCGTTTGCTCGTCAACCCCTATTCGAAAGGAAAGACGGGAGAAAAGACACGGTTTTGTGCATCGAAGAAAAGGGGGAGAGACTCGAAAAAAGATATGCAGGTATCAATTCCGCAGCAGCCAGAATATCGGAATTATTGGAAGAGAACATGAACATTTTCCAAATGAACGATACGCCTGACAACATAAAATGGATTAAGTATATCGATTATGTTGATGGTGTGGTCACAAGTTATTTGTATCAGTCTGTAGGATGCAGGTAAGTGGTTAGAGTGAAAAAAAATCCGTTTGGCTGTTGCTACTGTGATAGCGACCACGTTTTCATGGTATTCTGCAGGAGAAATTACAAAAACCCATGTTACTGAAATCAATAATAATCTTGTGTAAAGAGGATTAGTGTTATACAACTGTACAAAACACAAGAACTACAGAAAAATTCTCAAAGAGCTCTAAGAGTGGTGCCTGTGCGAAAGTAGTGATTCACATTGGATTTGAATCGCTGGAGATTAAATCTATTTGAAGAAACGTACTCAGGAAGTTTATTATTCCACTTGAATGCAGTTCTCCAAATGAAAATGTTCTTAAACAGTGAAGTTCGCGGTGTACTGAGTTGAACCTCAAAACGATGAGCAGCAACAGTCCGTCGCCGCGTATTTCTGATATGTGCCGCTCTTGGTGGAATCAAATGTGCCAAGTCACTTGAACACTTTCCGTGAAAGTATCTATAGAAGAGAGACACATCTCCAACCTTTCTTTGATGTTCCAGATTATCAAGGCTGCAATTGATGTTCGCGTCTCCAATCAGGCGAATGGCTCTTTTCTGGATGGAATCCAGCAGCTTCAGGATATGCTTAGGAGCGGAGCTACATACAAGAGAACAATACTCTTAAGAAGGTCTGATCTGAGCTTTATGAAGCATCAGAATTTGCTGATGTATGTACAGTTTTCTGGTTCGGAACAGAGTTCCAAGCTTTTGAGAAGCAACCTTTGCAATTCCAGCGACATGATTGTGCCAAGATATATTGGTGTTCATTTCAACCCCCAACAAACTTATCGAAGTAGAAAGTGGAATTGTCTGTCCTGACATTATTATATCCGGTTCTGAGACATTTATCTTTTTGGAGAAAACCGACGCCTGGGTGTTTGTGGCATTGAATTGAACCTGGTTACTTTCACGCTACTTCGAAATCACTTCTAGATCCTTGTTAAGATATGCAACCTCCTGCTACCGATGAAGATGTGCATCATTTTTCAATACTTATTATTTTATTCCTGACGAAAACAAATCCAAAAAGACAAAAATCAAAAATTGGTCAACCCATTCTTGATTTCTTTTTTTTTTATTATTATTATTTTTATTGATAAATTATTATATTTCAATACTTATTATCCTATTCCCGATGAAGAATTCAAAAACACAAAAATCATAAAAATTAGTCCAGCCGTTCTTGAGTTCTATTATTATTATTATTTTTCTTTTTTTCCATATTTACTCACCTTTTAAACCTTTCCTGGACTTCTACAAATAATTCATTTTTATATATTAGTTATTCAACTTTGGCTACGATGGTGGACAGACACGGGTTTTGAAGAGGTAGATATATAGTTACGCTTGATTCGTGTAAATACTTCCCAGAGAGTGATTGTTAGGTGCTCCTGTGAACCTGGTCAATTTTCTCATTAAATTAGCATTACAAAGAAATTCCTTGAGGAATAATATTTATAAAACTCTAAACATATATTTTCCAAATTCGTTATTGATATTACCTTCGTTTCTGATAAAGAACGGGTACCATATGTTGATGTGACAGATATTCAAGAAATTTAAGACTATCTTACATTGCTGTGTCAAATTGATATTTTTGCTGCACCTAAAAGAGTTGAAATGATATATTTCCATGATTATCGTAACTTTGATTACTTAGACGTTTTAGATATTCACTTAGATCTTATATATGAAATCGAATACGTAGACTGCATGGTCTCTTTTTGAATAACAACCACAATCTTTTCAAACCCTTCTCAATTGGAGAAAGTTTGATCAGTTTGTCGTACAAAATAAAAACTCCAAATCAACTTGGAATTTCTACAGATTGCTCGATAATTTAAGAAAAAAATTAAATATGGGTATTCTTGATTTAATTGAGAAATTTCAATCTATTAAACCAGTATATCAACCTATTAAATCCGCTAGTCAAAAGTGTTCTGTGTTATGTTCATTCGAAATAATCCGAAAATTCATTTCACTTCACCATCGTCATGGGAGAAGGCGGAAAGTTTTCTAAGATGTATCAAAAGCAAAGATTCAGATCAGATGAAATATTCCCCAAAATAATAAATCTCATTCACTCTTTTTTGATAAATTACCTAATTTTTCTTATCAACGGCAACGGTACGATTATCAGTTGCCAGGTGTTTTGAGAAATGGAATGGTAATCCCTCTGGCTAAGTGTAACTCATATACAGACTTTTCTGATCAGAGACCAATCACAATCCTCCCGTGTCTTTCAGTAGTTCTTGAAGTTCAATTGATAGGTTTTTCAATGAAAATCACATTGTTACATCAGTACAATCTGGATTCAAACCTCAGCAAATACCGATTATTTTGAAGCTGTAGATTGTGCAGATGATGATATCGTAACATGTTCTATACTTTTGAATTATCACGTAATTTTATGTGACAAACTCATCCACTTTGGTTTCTGTAGAGAAGAGGTTTCACATTTAGGAAACTAGCTGTCCATTTAAAATCAAAGAGTTACTGTGAATAGAGTTGTACCGCTTTCCTTGCCGGTATCAAAGCGAGTGCCACATAGATCTATTCTTGGGCTCATGCTTCTCAGCTTGTATATATGTGATTTTCATCTGTTTGGTAGAAAATGCAATTGTTCATTATTAAGTATATGACACTCTGTTATATTTTCCATTCCCTTCTGGAGATTCGGATCAGTTATATATTATGATCTTTAAACCATCTTCGACATTTCGACAGTTATCTAAATCAAATTTCTTATAGCTTTTTCAGGCAGCTATTCTTTAATCGAAATTTCCCGGACACAAAGTTGAATCTACGATTATGTGATTTAGTTTGGTAGAAAATGCAATTATTCATCATTATGCAGATGACACTCTGTTATATTTTCCATTTCCTTCTGAAGATTCGGATCAGTTATATATTATGATCTTCAACCATCTTTGACATTTCGACAGTTACTGAATCAAATTTCTTATAGCTTTTTCAGGCAGCTATTCTTTAATCGAAATTTCCCGAACACAAAGTTGAATCTACGATTATGAGATTTAGTGATAATGTCAAAAATTTATTACTATAACAGCATTTATGGACATGCCTCAATACAATCGGACCCTTTTTCCTTTCAGCGTAGAACAGCTGTCTACGCTCCTCATTTGGTAAATGAAAATACGTCTATATATCTTCAGCGATGCAAGAATCAGGATGGTTGAAAGTTGAGAAACTGAGAACTTTGCAACTTCTCACTAACAAACATAAAATCTTGACATGTCGTGATTCTGATTATTAATTAAAGAAGCTTAAAATATTTCCCACAATTAAAATATTCACATGAAATAGTTAAGTTCTAGTCTTCTAGTCATCTCTAAATATAAATATTCTATCCTTACCCGCTACTTCTCGTTAAATCTACCCAAATTTTTTTTCCAATATTTATTGTTACTGATTAACGTTTTGTTTAGTCAATTATTTTGTAATATGGATGTTTCAATTTTCTAGTTTAGGATACATCAACGAGCACATGGACCCATCAAACAATTTGGCGCCCTTTTTTGAATCCCAGTTGCAACTGTTAGAACCCAACATCGTTTTTATTCCTTCGTTGAACCCCAATGATCCTGATGGCCTCAAAAGTTTGATCATTGATCTCACGAACGAAATAATAGATACTTCGTCAATAGTGAACAGATTCTCGAAAACTAAGTCAGTAACTTACAAAGAAGAAATCGAGACAAATCGTGATATTATAGAAATAAGAGAAGATATTCTGGCCAGTATCGATAAAGTTATAGAAGAAACTTACGAATTTTGTGATCATTTTCAATCGTACTCGTATCTGTGGTTGGACGATCGGGAGCAATATCTGGATCAATTTTTAACCTACGGGCGACAATTGAGCAATGAGGAGATGGAATACGTGGGGCTTCAGGATCCCATGTCTCCAAAACTGTCCCCACCCAAGATGGAGCAATTCAGGGAACAAATAGACAACTTTGAGAATCTTTCGGTCGAAGTGGAGAAAATTAGAGAAGCAGAAATGTTTGACAATTGGTTCAAAGTGGATATTAGGCCTTTCAAGCAGGCTTTGATGAATATCATCAGAAAATGGGGTAACTTACTAATTCTTTTTCAACGTACTTCATGATTTTGTTTCAGTATAAACAATTATTTGAATAGATTTTGTACCAAAACATTTTGTTTTTCAAACGTTTCTTCTTCACCTTTCTAAGTATCTTTGACGTTAGAACTCATTTACGAGAATATGTACCAATAACTGTTCAATTGCTTCAAGGGAACATGTTCAAACAGCACCTGGTGAACAACGTAACTAACAAGCTCTGCGACTTGAGTCAGTTCATTCGTTCCGCCGACGAAGGTCTCCAGCAAACCGTCCTAGAAGGCGACTATCAAGCTCTGGTAAACGTCATGGGATACCTTCTCCACGTTAAGGAACGTCAAGCTACTACCGATGATATGTTCGGCCCTCTCAGAGAGACCATTGAGCTTCTCAAGTTTTATGATCAGGACATTCCAGAAGAGGTCAATGTCTATTTGCAAGAATTGCCTGAACAGTGGAGTAACACAAAGAAAATTGCTATTACTGTGAAACAGCAGGTAGCGCCACTTCAAGCCGCAGAGGTGACTTTTATCAGAAAGCGTATAGTTGACTTCGATAACAGGGTGACCTACTACAGAGAGGTCTTCAAAAAGTACTCGTTCTTTCAGTACAGTTGTCCCAACCCTTATGAGAGTATCGATAAGGTCGATAAGGATATGAAGTCACTGGAAAGTAAAATGAGGGATATACAAGAGTCTGGTTCTTTGTTTGAAGTTAGTGTGCCAGATTTCAAAATATTGAAGCAGTGTAGGAGGGATTTGAGGTTGCTGAAGGTGGGAAAAATTCAATAACTAAGTCAGATTTTCTGTGATATTTTGGATTCTTTATTTTGTACTTTCACTCAAAATTTGTTGATTCAAAAGTGGGCTCAGTAAGGGATTAAAGTATGTTAGAAAAATATTTTCACTCAATAATTGAGAATGCATATAAAAGTTCTATCCAAAACTGAGAAAGTCCAAATTTCCATTTTTCTAGCAACTATGGGACTACGTTCAAATAGTCCACACTTGTGTGGATGACTGGAAAACAACGCCTTGGCGTAAGATAGACGTGGAGAACATGGATATTGAATGCAAAAAATTCGCTAAAGAGGTTAAGATGTTGGATAAAGAAATGCGTACCTGGGATACTTACATCGGTCTAGAAGCAACCGTGAAAAATACTCTAACATCTTTGAAAGCTGTGGGTGAACTTCAAAATTCGGCCATAAGGGAAAGACATTGGGAACAATTGATGAAGAGTACTAAGGTAGATCGTGTTGTCTTTTATTGCTGTATATATGTAAATAGCTTTCATCAATTTTTTTATGTGAAATGGATTGTCATGGTCAACTATTTCACTAAATATAAGATCTCGAACCGATTGTGTTAGCAGTTCAAAATTTAATATAACGCATATTTCAATTCAACAAGGAAATTTATCACGACAATCTTTGAAAGTCATTTAAATCATAAATTCATCAGTTATTGTTCAGAGGTGTAGGCACATCATCTGTATATATCACATTCTGTTATAATAATCTGTTACAGAATTTGGCTGCCTTGCCTCAGGAATTCACAGTAAGTATTGAAATATTATTGAGCAAAACAAACTGAAAAATTTCACAATGATAGAGTTGCTATTCACCTTTTATTTCACTGTTGGGTTTCCAATACAGACAGATACGGAGTAGAACGTTCAGTATCAATCTAATTGTCATCACTCTAGTTGGTCGATACGATATCTGCACTTCACCATGGCGCACATTATTCAATCTACATTGTTATGAAAAATGAGTAGATTTCAACATTTCAACCATCCCCATCATGTTTCATTGATATTATTGATTTCTACTCTTATTTTTGTTATTGTATTTTTAGACCCGAATAGTTATGGATCATAATACAACTCTAGCAGATCTCCTAGCACTAAATTTGCACGAATGTGAGGAGGAAGTTAAAAACATCGTTGATAAGGCAGTCAAGGAAATGTCCATGGAAAAAATCCTTAGAGAATTGAACACGACCTGGTCTGCGATGGAATTCGAACAAGAAACCCACCTTCGAACTGGCTGTAAGCTACTGAGAGCCAGCGAAGAGCTAATTGAAACCCTAGAGGAGAATCAGGTGCAGTTGCAGAATTTGATAACTTCTAAGTTTATTGCCCATTTTTTGGAGGAAGTTTCCTCTTGGCAGTACAAACTGGGATTGGCGGATCAAGTGATAACGGTTTGGTTCGAAGTACAGAGGACTTGGATGCATTTGGAATCCATTTTCATGAGCTCTGAAGATATTCGGAAACAGTTACCGGAAGATTCGGAAAGATTCGATAATATCGATACTGATTTCAAGAAGCTGATGATAGAGATGGCGAAGGTTCCAAATGTTATAGGTAACTATATTTCAACAGTATTGATATTTTTCAACTGATAGATGTTTTATGATGTTTAAGTATATCCCACAACTATGATTTTTCAATGTCGCTTCTTTCACAGACTCAACAAACAAACCTGGTCTCTATGAAGTTCTCGAAGAACACCAGAAGAACTTAACCTTATGCGAAAAAGCTCTTGCGGTATATTTAGAAACTAAAAGATTAGCTTTTCCCCGATTTTATTTCATTTCTTCTGCCGACCTGCTCGATATTTTGTCAAACGGAAACCAACCTGAGCTCGTCGCTAAACATTTGACGAAGCTTTTCGATTCCATCGCCAAATTAAACTTTGGAAGAAAGGAAGATAGCACCTTGGATAACGTAATTCACGGGATGCACGCAAAAGATGGAGAATACGTGCACTTCAATAAACCTACCACGTGTGATGGACCAGTGAGTTATTTTCTTAAGAGCATTTACATTATTCATTATGATATTCAAAAATTTGTATTCACACTTAACACAATCATGTAAGTTAAAATTTTGATAAACCATCCTTCAACTGTGATATTTCAGAATCGACTATTCACACAGCAGCAGTGATCACTTCACGCCTTCTTTAACAAATTTCCTTTCCTCAGGTCGAGTGGGTAGAAGTTGTAAACTGAAGGGTTCATGATGGTCTGCCAAAATGTTGTCTTCAACACCTTAGATTACCATAGTTGTGTGATGGGTATAGAGGCTCCTAACACCAGGTGCAAGGCATGCCGCAAGATACCTGAGACTCTAAAGCACTTCAGCATATGCGGTTTCAGCCTATATCCATCGACATAACTCGGCTCTTAAAGTGATTCATCATCATCATGTTATGATATTGATAAGCTAGCAGTATTACCACTCTGTTAAGATTGTTTTGGTGATTATTGGAGTCCTTCGTGGAATGATGCTTCTCTTCTACACCCTCATTCTCGAATTTTTGGGAAATAGCAATACAAGTTTATTATTTTTATTATATAATTTTATGAAGGTCCACTATGGCATGAATATGGCCAGCCGTTTGTTATTTGAATAAGAGCCGAGACAATTTTCGACTTTTCTTATGAACACCGCCGTCATATAGAAACTATGTAATCCATATCTCGAATACCTATGATTAAGCCTATTATTCTTTGCATAAAAATTACGCATTTTACTTCTGTAAAGGACGTGTTCCTCCTAACAAATGAATATAGTGAAATGGTATTCTAAGCATTTCTGTTTTGTTTCGTGACATCACTATCTCACTAGGAATCGCTTGGTTTTATTTGTATATCTAGAGCTAACTTGTCCGGCTACTGAGGAAATATCTTGAGCCAAATAACAAATTGAAATAGATATATTTCAAGAAGAAATTAGTTTTTGGGAAAGGTTTTGGCTTTCTACTTCCTCATCTTCATATAAAAAACTTGGGAAACTTCCAAAAGAAGGAAGAACGTAAATATATTCAAAACAAACTTTCCATATAGAAATTACTTCCAGATATAAAACGGGAAGAAAAACCCTTCCGGAAACAACTAGTTTCATAGAAGCTTTACACAAAATAATATATGATAGAGTTATGATACAAAATTATAGTCTGGTTCACATGTACTTTTTTTTGTGAAATTTTACAGACGGGTCCAAAAATTACGACCAAGGTATCATTGGATTCGTATTTTTACCTAGAGAGTTTAAGAAAAGGTCCGAAAAGACGGTGAAAAAAATTACATAAGTTATAAACAATTAAGTGAAAAAAAATTGGGGCTTTAGTTTTTTTAATATCTCGAAAAATTTTCAAAATTTTGTAAACTTTAAAAAAGATCTGAAAAGATCAATAAATATGCGTAAAAAAAGTCCCAACTCCCGAAACTGTATCTCAATTATTTATAATTTTTACAGAGCCCTGAAAATAGAGCCAAAAACGGGTAGTCTGGCTTCCGCGCGCATTCCGTCACTCTGACATAAAAACAAAAAAAATTATTTGAACATATTAAATGCGAATATTAAGGAATGAAAAAATTCACATAATATTGGGATACATCAATAAACAATAATCCGCAGTCAAAAAATGTTTATCTCAATTTTAACATTAATTATGCATTTGTTAATTAATAATTTTTTTTTAATTGAAAGTTAATATGAAAACCCCTATAATTATTAAACTAAAACCCTGGAATTTTTTTCCTTTGGTGAAGTTATTCTTAATAGGCTAAAAATAGATAACCGTTTCCAAAATAAAAAAATTGTTATACTCTACTTGCAATAAGATACCAATAATTTATAATATTTATTTGAGAAAATTGATAACATTTTCGGTACAAGCAAATTAAAATACTTGGAACTTCATAGTTTGAAATAGGAATTGAATGAAAAACAAAAGTGGTACTTGACTGCAAAGCATGTAAATGTGTCCATTTTTTTTCAAAGATCACAAACATTTTTCATACCTTTTCACTATGTTATAAACAGATAACAGATGAAACCTAAAACGATTTATTTCAGGTCGAAGTTTGGCTAAATTGCGTCCAGGACAGCATGCGTGTTACGATAAGAACGTTAATCGGCGATGGAGTTCTTTCCTATGAAGAGAAGCCTCGAGATCAGTGGCTTTTTGACTTTCCAGCCCAAGTTTCGTTGTGCGGCACCCAAATCTGGTGGACAACCGAGGTTAACATCGCCTTCTCCAGACTCGAAGAAGGATACGATAACGCTATTAGAGATTACTACAAGAAACAAGTGTCTCAGCTGAGCACGCTGATTTCTCTGTTACTGGGTGACTTGACCAAACAAGATAGACAGAAAATCATGACCATTTGTACCATTGATGTGCACTCAAGGGATGTGGTCAGCAAACTTATTCAGATGAAAGTCGAGAGTGCCTTGGCTTTCCAATGGGTTTCACAGCTGAGACACAGGTGGGGAGAAAACGAGAGGCAATGCTTCGCCAATATTTGTGATGCCCAGTTCAGCTACAGCTACGAGTATCTTGGTAACACCCCCAGGCTCGTCATAACACCTCTAACAGATAGGTGTTACATAACACTGACACAGGTATATTTTTCCATGTTATCCTTTAGAATGGGTTAAATGTCCCTTTCCTACCGATAACCTCTCAAAGTACAATTCCGATTGTCAAACTTCTTTCAACCACTGCAACAATATTAATCTCAAGAAAGGGAAAGAATCCATCTATCTTCTTTCAAAAAGAACAATATTTGGGCTGATGAGCCGTAGTTGAATGGATCCTGAAACGTTTCGCCTGCATCTGCGGCAGACATCGTCAGTGGTCTCAAGTGTCCTGGTTTATGACTAAAAATTGTTATTGCCCCATTCAAGAGCAATCCTGGATTTGAAAAAAAATTAATGAACTTATTGAGAATTGTTTCTTTGAGAATCAGTATGTTGAAGATTCGGATTACAATAACATGGGAGCTCATAAACTATAGAATGGCTTCATACTATGAATTGGCATACCGGCTTTGATCAGAAGATATGATATTTTTTAATTCGAAAATAATATTTTGAATTTCACTTAGTAACGTATCAGTGTGTACTAGTAGTTTACCGCTTTCTTCAAAACTAGTTTTGTCAGGCAAAACAATTTTGATATCTTAGTGTAAAAATCGATTCAATGTAATATATTTGTATTGAAGTATTTGGGTAGACCCTTCCTTCATATTCATACCCATCTGTGGATGATCTATACTTTTTTCTGATCATGGTTCAAGAAAATATGTTGGTAATTGGTAATAATTAAAAATAAATCAGTGATTTTGAAATTTTCGCTGCATCGCCGAATATTCGGTATTCGGCATCTTTTTCATTATTTGTATTTGGCTGAATTGTTTGATTTTGCGCCGAATATATTCGGTTCGAGTATTTCTATTTTCCTGGATACACGACACGGTATAGAACTAAAAGACAACATATACCGTATACTTGCATTATTCGGGAATAAGTTGATTATTTAATGATTAATACAACCACATATGCAACCACAGATGAAAAAATTATTATAAACACCCCAACTTACAATGTCAATCTCTTTTATGACTTATATGGTAATAACTCAGTACTATAAATCAGAAGGTGTATTCTATCTAAGTGGGACTATTCAAAATCAGTAGTATGAAATATTAGAAAATTATAGAAAATAAGATTAGTCATTTTTTCGCAAAAATAATCACTGTTAATAAATTAGTAGAAATCGTAGAGAATTGAAATTGTTGAGATAGGAAAATGACAGGAAGTCTTTCCATGAGGATTTATCAGTTTCTTTTCTTACTCTATGAATATTACTGGAGTTTTAAAATAACGGTTTGGTGTTGCGAAAAACTTCAGTAATATTCATTACTACACCAAAGGTTCCAAACAGTGCATCACAAGTTTTCCTACTCAGTTGATATTAACATGTAGGTTCTCAGGTCAAAATTCCCAGCAGCAGCAACACGTGGCAGTAATCGTTGAGTATTTTGAAAGCAACTTTGCCTAGAAAATATCCTAGGCAATGTCCCGTTTACGGTCTATAAACCTCGCATATTCTGTTGAATATATACCATATCTTGTGTGCAAATTGAGTGGTTACCAAATTGAAACTTTTCTATCGTTTTCAAACATGAAACTGAAAGTGTTTGTGATACTTTGTAATTAAAATCAATATGCAACTCGATTAGAGTTTCATAATAGTTTACTCATATAAATTTCATTTTGTTACCAATTTAGTATGTTACATTCTCTATGTGAAATCAAAAAATACATTTTTGTCTCGTAAATAAATCATACGTCTTAGACTCTGATATATAATTATATATTTGGTTAATCAAATATAAGATGTGCCAAGGAAGGGAATACAGTATTACACTTCACAAAAAATTAATTGATGTCTAGAAAGTATTTTCTTTCAAAAAAACATCTCCTCCAAACTATTGAAATATTTCTATGTAATTTAGCTTTCAATGCCGTTTCATTCTTTTCAATAGTTTGAAAACTAATAAATGGAATAAATGAACATATTTCATTTCAAATGAATATCAAAATTTAATGAATTAAAACTATACATAAATGATGTATAATACCGCGATAACAATAAATGTTTTTACCACATCACTGAATGGGTTCAAATATTATCGCTGAAAACTCTGTTGAGTTTGGTCCCACTTTTAGGTACTTGAAAATGTTATTGTTGGGACTGGTCAGTCTTTATGAGCTCCACAAATAATAACATTCAGTTCCCTTTTCAATTTACTACTCAAAGCTTTTACATTACGACGAGGTTATATATTATATCTTGTATATTGTCTTCATTCTCCCATTTTTATTTGTATTTCTTTCTCCTTTCTACTCCCTCGTTCAGAGAATAATTATTTTTGAAATGAGAGGGAGTGGATTCAAGAATAGCGGTCCAGGCATAACTCATGAACCTTCCCAAATAACATTGGTAAACTAAATTGATGAGTTCAGCATTACATCAATGATATACCTAGATAAATTTTCACTTTCATTATCGATTTTACGAAATGTCAAGCATTTGAAAGTCCATTATTCAGAATTTTGAAATAAGTCCATAATTATTAAATTTCAATGACAGATCTTATACACATCATGAATGAAAGAGATCACGATGCCTTGGTAGTTCAAAAGAGCTAGCTTTATGATATAAGGTGTTCATACTACAGATGAAGCATATTTTTCTGTTGTAGAAAGTACATTATTTTTTAAACCATATAAGAATACATTTTCTTTAATTTTTTATGTGACTATGAAATGTAATGCCCATAGACACTGATGACTATTCTATTACAATTTTCTCAGGTGTATTTGCCTTTTCATAAGTGTTCTCAAGGATCACTCTCCCTCATTTCTTGCAAGTCTATTGAAGTGTTCAGAAGGAAATGTTAGCTCTAACATTGACTGAATTATTTCTAGTCATTGCATTTAGTCATGGGAGGAGGCCCAGCTGGTCCGGCTGGTACAGGAAAAACAGAAACGACTAAAGACCTTGGCCGTGCATTAGGGATCATGGTTTATGTTTTCAATTGTTCAGAGCAAATGGATTACAAGGTGAGAGATAATTTTTCGGAGTTGACTTTCTATAATCTCTATCATACATGATTTCGTCTGTCAGTCTTGTGGAAACATCTACAAAGGCCTCGCTCAAACCGGAGCATGGGGATGTTTTGACGAGTTCAACAGAATATCAGTGGAAGTTCTTTCAGTAGTAGCTGTCCAAGTAAAGTCCGTTCTGGACGCAGTAAAAAACAAAAAAGTGATGTTTGACTTCATGGGCGACTCGATACAGTTAGTACCCACCGTTGGTATCTTCATAACCATGAATCCTGGATACGCAGGCAGAACTGAGTTGCCTGAAAACCTAAAGGCTCTTTTCAGGTACGTTTTGTTTAAAAATTTAGATAATTTCAATAGAGTTGAAGCAAGTGAAGCAAATGCTGCAAGTTTCTGTGACCTATCGAAGGTATTCGACTATTTCAACCATGAGAATGTATTGAATGAATTGCTTAGAAATACTGCAAACAAATACTAAAAAAATATAGAGCTTTTCAAAACAGGCCATCAAATGTGGTATATCTAAAAGTTCGATCCCGACCCAACTTTATTTCTTATTTACATAAATGATTCTCATAAACTCAAACCTCTTGATCACTTTTCTCACTTTCTTAATATCTTTCAAGATTACCTCATGCACATGAGGTCATCTCCAAAGACATTAACAAAATGAAAGGATGATAGGACTGTAATTAGTTATCACTCAATGTTAAACCAGCATACTTTGTATTCACTCTAACTCATTTAAGATATGGTTCGGTAACAAAATCATAGAAAATTTACATTCAAGTACAACCTATGTTGCCCTTATAGATCACCATAATAGATATGGAATTGATTTAGAGATGCATTTCAAATGTTTTTGTAGATAAAAAAGGCCTGTCAGATACATGTGCAGCTCCGAGAGGAGATAACTAGCAAATCACTCCTCAAAACCCAAGTTATTTCAACGGTATACGCCAATGTCTTTTATAAAAAGATAAAAACATTATTTATCTTGTAGGACCCCCATTTTTTGTAAGTTTTGAGTCGTTTTCTTCCTGATTTTTGGCATAGAGGAAGAAAACTATTCGAAACTCAACTACGTGTACATAACTATCGGATACAACCACAACAAACCAAAATTTAAAATGGCAATATACAAGAAACCCACACAAAGACGCTCGCAAGTTCGAACTACCCACTATCAGACAAAATGGCTGCCTATAACGTAATCATATACAGAATGCTAAGGATACCACTTAGCAATGAAGCCCAGAACGAAGGGAAATTATATACCAAATAGCAAACGAGAACGGATACACCCAATAGACAATAAATAAATTGGAAAACAGAATCAAACAAAATATACAGATCAAGGATCAGACTACTCCAACAGATAAAACAACATAACGATTGACTGCATTCACATACATAAGTCACCAAACCAAAAAGTTAACAAACATTTCAAACCCTTGAAATTCAACATCACTTACAAGCCGAACACGAAAATAACACAAAAAATAAATAGCTATGAAAAAGAAGAAGATAACATTTACGGAGTGTATAGCATACAATGCTCGGACTGCGATAAATTCTATATCGGCCAAACCAAGAAAAAACTAATCCAAACATACGACGAACACAAAAAAGCATATATAAACCCAATAACATATGAATCAAACCTCGCAACACATGCCATGCAAAACAAAGATAACTTTCCCCCACCAGAAATCATCAAACTCATGAAACCAGTCAATAAAGGAAATCGTACGGACATCTGGGAAAACTTAAACATCCGTAAATTCAAAAGTCTTAATTCACTTATCGAGGAACAAATACAAGACCTAACACTCAATATACTACACAACACAATACACATTCCTAGAAACAATGAACCTAGAGGAACTCAAACCTAATGTAACACAAATATAGGCAAATATAAAGAGACATCTGGATGACAGGTGGGGACAAATACTTGCACTGAGGAGTTCTAACCGTATAAAAGAAAAACAAAAAGATAAAACGTTCAATTTGAGTAGATACAGGATGAAATATTATAATCTTCAGATTATTAAAACAGGTACAGACAATATATTAAATTTGATTTGATGAAGAGCAACTTTATCCCCATTGCAAATTCGAGGCAACCAATCCTACATGTGTTGTTATTTTACAGGCCGTGTGCTATGGTGGTTCCTGATTTCGAACTCATATGCGAAATCATGTTGGTTGCCGAAGGATTTCAAGATGCCAAAATTCTTGCACGGAAGTTCATAACCCTTTATACTTTATGTAAAGAATTGTTATCAAAGCAAGACCACTACGATTGGGGCTTGCGTGCCATAAAATCAGTTTTGGTAGTAGCAGGATCTCTCAAGGTAAATCTCCACTTCGAACTTTCATTCGTCATATCTTGAAGATAATCTCAGGGGTGGTATTATCTAGTATTCGAATCTAAACTGATGCAGAACGATCTGAAATTAATTACATGCGGTACATTCTACTTTTTTTTGTAATTTACATTTCAGAGAGGAGATCCAGGTAGACCCGAAGAAGAAGTTCTAATGAGGGCTCTAAGGGATTTCAATATCCCAAAAATAGTGACAGACGACACTCCGGTGTTTATGGGTCTTATAGGAGATTTATTTCCAGCCCTAGAGGTCCCAAGGAAACGAGACGCAGAGTTTGAGAGAACTGTTAAACAGGCTGCGATAGATCTAAAGTTGCAACCTGAAGACAACTTCATTCTAAAGGTTTGATCATCATAACATTACAATAAAAATTTGAGTATATAGTTAATTTGTTACTACAAAATTAAAAGATTGAAATAGAGCAATACATAATGACTATCTACCTCCTAGATTGGCATTTGTCTCTCCAATATCAATTTGAAACACCTCCCAGTAATTGATTGAAAAGTTGCATTTTGTTTACATGTGGAGTGAACTGAAATATTCTGTAGGTAGTTCAGCTAGAAGAACTATTGGAAGTTCGTCATTCAGTTTTCATTGTGGGTAACGCCGGTACCGGTAAGACGGAAGTTTGGAAAACTTTATTCCGGACCTACATGAACATAAAAAAGAAACCCGTTTGCAATGATCTGAATCCGAAAGCCGTCACAAATGATGAACTCTTTGGAATTATCAATCCTGCGACGAGAGAATGGAAAGATGGCTTACTATCTGGTACGCAACGTAAATTATATTCACTGTTAAATACTTTCACAACTGTTTTCAAATATTTGTCATTGTTTGAAAGTTTTAAAGTTTTCATACATCAAACATTTCTTGTCTAACATAATCTGTAGCATTAACTTTGCATTCATCATTCGTTCCAGTATTGATGCGAGATCAAGCGAACTTACCTGGAGACAATCCAAAATGGATAATACTTGACGGAGACATAGATCCAATGTGGATAGAATCTTTAAACACCGTCATGGATGATAATAAAGTGCTTACTTTGGCCAGCAACGAAAGAATTGCGTTGACGCCTGTGATGAGATTGCTTTTCGAAATTTCTAATTTGAAAACGGCCACACCAGCTACAGTTTCTAGGGCTGGAATTTTATACATCAATCCTCAGGATCTTGGCTGGAATCCGTAAGTGTCATTATCAATGTTTTAACACAGAGAATTGCAAAATTTCAATGATCCAATATTTTGAAGAATATTCTCATGTTATGTATTCTCCTACTATAATCTAGTATTCATTAGCATTCAAAACCTCTCTTTCCCAAAAATTATAACTTCTGAAAATATACCCTTTCAATTTAAGTAATTTTCTAATTGTCAGTTGATTGAGAATATTTTTGTTGAATTCAACTAGAGCTTTATAACGTTTTTTTAAAGACAATTTTAAGTTAGATATACCAAAATTTTAAGTAAATTGAGTTTAAGTTAATTCATGATATGAAGAGTTTCTTTCAAATAACATAAATTCAATATTTATAAAAGTTTAATGGAATTCATTTATCGGTATTTATCGGTTTAAAACTTTGTTCAATTCCTCGAAAAAATGTTGATCATAATATATTTATCAGTAGTTTCATAGCAGAATAAAAAACATAGATCGTGTTAAAATTTTTATTCTCTTCAGTATATCAAAAGATATACTAATAAGGACATTACAAATCAATCGTCTCACCGGTTTTCCGTGACCAACCCTGCAGGACCTCTAGCCAAACCTCCTTGGCCGTCCGGGATGATACGAAGCGGTGTAAATCCTAGCTCCTGTTTGGGAATTCCATACTGCACAAGCTTCTCCTCAAAGGTCTCCAACAAATCATCATGAGCTTTACAAACTCTGGCTAACTCGTACTGCAGGTCACTAATCACGGCGTTCTTTTTCGTCAAAATGTCCTCCAGTTTCTGATTAGTTCTAAGTGGAGGATGTTGTAATGAGGCGTTTAGTTCTCCGATAATGATCTCTCGGTGCTCAGCAACTTGACTGAGGGTCTGTATGCGCTTTTGTAGCAACATATTCTTCACTCCGGTCTTCTGTTGCACTTCCAATACTGCTTTAACGAACCTGTTGTGGAGCTCGTCTCTTTCTCTTTGGAGAGTTTCGAATCGCAGCTCTAGCGCATCGTAAGACCATCTCAAGTCTGTTAACTCCTTCAGTTTCTGCGCCAAGGTGGCTTTGGTATTAGCCAGCGAGAGCTTGTCCTTTTCATAGTTCTGTAGCTGTCGCTTGTACTCCTTGACGTCATCTAGAGCTTGCTTGAGCGGGGCGAGGAGTTTTTTATTCTCAGCAGTTAAGTCGGCTACCTGCTTGGTCATCCTCTCGTTCTGCTTCCGCAGCACCTCCATTTGGTCTTTCAGGCTGCTTATGAGGGCAAGGTTATTCAAAGTAATGTCGTTATAATAGTTCTTCATTTCGTTGAATGCCTTTTCGTGATTTTTGCTCATTTCGGAGATGTGGAGGTTCTTTCGTTCTTCCACTTCCGATATTTCCATGTCGTGTTTTGCGTTCAGCTGGACCTTCAATTCGGTGTATTTCTTCTCATACTTAGCTTCTAGTTCTTTGGCCTTGTTTTCGAATTCGTTTCGTGCCTTGCTCACTTCTTCGCTGTGCTGCAACTTCAGTGCCTTAGTCTGATCTTGGTGAGCCAGTTCAGTTTCCCGAGCTAGTGCTTTTAGATCCCGTTTGTCTTGAAGAAGTTCGCGTTCTTTCTGGGAATGTTCATCTTGAGCTAATTTCAGTGATACCAGTGATTCTGCTTTGCACTCCGTCAAGTTATTTTGATGTTCGTACTGAAGGTGTTTCACTTTTTGTTTGTAAAATTTGAGTTCGTCCTCGTTCTTTTCTGTGGATTCTTCAATCTGCCTATCTTTGTTCCTCAGTTTCGCACGAACTTCCTCAAGCTCGTTTCTGGTGATTTCCCAAAAGGTCCGGATTTTATCCCTTTCCATTTGGAAGAAATTGCGTTCTTCTCGTTCTCGTTCATTCTCCTCCTTGATTCTGTGGCAAAACACTTCAAGTTGTTCTCTGGTCATCTGCGTCGTATCAACCCCATCGATTATGTTCCCGGTACCTCCTTTGCCACCGCCTTTTTTCTTTGGAGGCATTTTTTAGAACTAACGTGTTTACTATCGACACAGATACTTGTTAAAGTGACATTGATTGAAACGTTAACTTCGAGGAAGTTAGCTTGGAAACGATCGCCATGGCAACAAAAATGGTACATCGTCGCGTTGGATCGAATTTTAATAAATGTCAGTCCTAGTTAGTTCTCATTATACAGGGTGTCCATAGCTATCATGTTGGAAAAATTATATTTTATGAATGTCATGACAATAATAGCATGGAAGAGTGCAGTATATTAGTGATTGAAAGAAACTAAAGTTCATAAGGGAAATATCATCAAAAAAAAAATATTTGAACAGACAAACACTTATTTTTCCACTTTCAATTTCAAATTGTATAAATTTGAAATCGAGGATATTTACTCAACATATATGTTCAACAATATTTAAATGAAAAAGTCTTTAAAGATCCGAGATGCTTTCTAATAATCTTGTGGAGATTCGATAAAAAAAAGTTTGAATTTTTTACGTTCATCTATTCCTAAGATTTTGGCTACCGGAAAGTTGAGATAAGTTTCTGTGTCATTCTTAGCTGTTTTTATATGCAAACTTATAGATTAAAAGTTACAGAATATTGTATTTCCTTTGTGAAAAAAAACATCGAATTGACTGTCTGCATATAAATTGCCTCAATGACTTTTTGAAGTTGTGAAATATATCAATGTTTTTTATTGTATTGGGAAGAGTGTTGAAAAATTTTGGAACTAGGTAAGTATATGTATGCTGGAAAAGTGATTTTTGAGTTAATAGAATTACATGATGATTTTTTTTTCGGGTGTTGAGTAAAAACACATAAACAAAAAAGTGTTGATTTTTAAAAAGTTCGGTCGTGAAGTCTGGAACTTTATTAATCCAGTGATGTACCTAATATTATTTAGTGAGGCATTGATTAGTTTATAAAGATATTTCCAATTTCACAAAAAAGTGATGGATAAAAAGAAGTGCTTCAAATGCGAAGGTGAATGTGAATCAACTCAGCTCTTTCCCTGTGATGTGATTTAACAGGATCTGAAATCAAATGCCTACAGCTGAAAACAAAAAGGAAACTTATATTTTTATGTGAAGACTGTGAATCGGGATTCTGGAAAGTTCCTTCACTGATTAAGCAGATGCATGATTTGGAGGATAATTTTGAAAGATTGGCCAACAATTCATCGTCTTCCCAGAATAAAGGCGCAGATATTGATTCGTCTTCAGAAGAGGTAATATCTGAACTATTGAAGAGACAAGAAAGGGAACGAAATATTGTGATAGGAGGACTGAAGGATTCCCAGGCTAATACTCCTCAAAGGTGTGTAGAAGAGGATTTGAATGTAATGTAACTAATTAGTAATATCAAGGGTTGTAAAGTTGGAAAAACTATAGCTAATAAATTTAGGCTACTCAAAGTTATTCTCAAATCACGAGATGCTTTGAATATCCTAAAGAACAGACGGACTGAATTACTAAACCTACGAATATTTAGTGATCAAACAAAAAAGCAACGAAAATTCTACATGAAAATCAAGAGCCAGCTGCAAGAAATAGAAAAAATGGTGATTTCTCAAAAACAATCAAATATATTAATAACAAACCCATTTTGGTAACTGAAACTAGGATGGCTACATCAAAAAAGAAGTTGAGCTTCCTAATATACAGTACCTATCATTGTGATATCATTTATTTGAACAGGCAGAGTATTTAAGCAAATAAAAACGAGCTTATAGTAAGAATCTTATGGTATAATCCTTCTTTATTGCTTTTAAGTGAAACCCGTACAACTAGAGACAGAGGATTTAGAAATGTACCTCCCAAACCATAATAATATCCGTTGTAATTCGATGTCCAGACACACAGGAGGGGTTGTATTCTATTCAAGAACAGCTATTAAATTTTCGATATATAGAACATTCATACTTGAAAAAAATTACTGCTGTAAAGCTGTAAGGGTTACTTCAAATAAACAAATTTACATTATTGGCTGCTTTATCAATCACTAAATTCCAGTCATTCTGTATTTTTGGACCATGAATATATGTGAGAAACTTTGTTCAATTCCAAATATAAATGTGTTCTTGCTGAAGACTTCAACTTGAATTTCCTCAGTAACGAATATTATTGCACAAAAATAAAAAATATATTGAACATGTTTGGAATTGAACAAACTGTAACTCAAATAACCAAGTGTGCTTTATATAGCAACACCATTGTCGACTTTGTACTCACCAATTTCGATGTTAATACTGTTGTTGTTCATGATGCCCCAAAGTTAACTGATTATTCTATAATAACAGTCAATTTGAGAAATTGCAATATATATATATATAGCACAAAAATATACAGGACAGGATTAACTTGAGTTTGATATCATGTAACTTTTTGTAGCTGTGTTGACTTCAAAAGTCAGTGTGAGTCAGTTGTTCACTCAATTGCACCTGAAAGATCACACACTATAAAGTCAAATAGGGTACCATGGTATGACAACAAGGTTCAAATATATTGTGACAGATGAAATCGGGTTCACAAGTTGTTCAAAAATAATAAAACTGAGGAAATTTAGAACCACTTTGAATTTATTCGAAATACATGTGTAAATTTATTGAAACTCAAAGAAAAAAAATACTATTATGATGAAATTGATCAAAATAAGTTAAACCTGAGTAATATGTCGAAAACATTCAAACATATTGTAAGTCCAAAGACTACAACACGTTCACTAATGATATTCATTTCAAAATAAATGGTCAGTCAATCATTCATAAAAATAATCTAGATGTTGCAGAATCATTTAACAATTATTTTATTGATGGCGCACAAGAAATTGTGAACACTATTGATCAAACTGATTAACTTCTTGAGAACAGTGTTATATTGATTAACTGCTCCTTTGAGAAATTCAAAGTGTCTAAATTGGTCAACAAAATGGAAATAAAATTCAGCAGTGAGATACTTAATTGTATACGTTTGGTGTTATAGGATAGCATTGCTCAATTTTATGAATACATCTTTGTTAAGCACTGACATATTCCCGAAGGAACTTAAAACTAGTGTCCTTGTGCCAGTGTAAAAAGTCCCTAATACAAATAAATCCTGGGAATTTAGACCAATCAACACTTTGCCTTGCACCAAGAAATTATTAGAACCCGCAGTTTGTAATGAACTCATTGAATATCTAGGAAATAATGATATTTTACTAAAATATCAGTCAGCTTTCAGTCTGTATTACAAGTCACAATTTCAAAATGGAAAGAATTAATAGATATCGGACATTATATTAAGCCGCATTTTTAGATCTTGAAAGAGCTGAAACAATTGATCGCCACATATTACTAAATAAACTGCAAAGAATTGGTATCAGTGGAACTATTTTGTTATCGCTGACTGACTGTTCATCACAACGTAAGCCATGTAACCAAAATAAAGGATTCAGTGTCATCATCTCGAAAGGTCGTTTTCGGTGTACCCCAGGGGAGTGTTTTTGGGAACTATATTATTTAATGAACTTTTTTGCAGATGATTTTTATTTTCAATCTAGTTCATAACTTGCTTCCAACTTATTTCGAAGAATTCTGTATATATAGATCTCAGATTCATAACCACTTGACAAGAGCGAGTAGCTCCCAAAAATGTCACGGTCCATGAACTAATTTGACTATTACGACGAAGTCCTTATTTTATAAAGGTTTGAATGAGTATAATAAACCCCCACCTTCGTTGAAAGATCCAATAAATGTTTTCCAGTTCAAGAAAGAACTCATAAACTATATAAAATCTCATTCCTGATTTTTTTCTGTTTTCTAATATATTTGTTATATATATCTAGATGTATGAACCATCTTGGAATCAATGTGAAAATTTTTTCTTGTAGTGTTGTTTCCTCATGTTTGTTATTATTTTGTCATCAATTAGTTGTACACACTAATGATAATGTAAAATGAATATTTCATAATCAATAAATTGATATTAGATTCAATATTACCTCCACAAACAAAATTGATGTGAAATATTGTCTGTGCAATCCTAGAATGTATATAGAAACTATAAATATCTTAGTATTTTTTATTGTTTTGAAGATGGGGACCTCCTTTGGGTTTATTAAGTTTTTTGGAATCCGAAATACATCAAAAATACTTGGTGGGTATCCAGACACTACATAAACCATGACTTAACTTTTCGAAACTTATGTTCTTCGTAAAACTCCTAGTCCCTAATAAAATGAATATATTTACAATCACTGCTCTTTCAGATATGTCACTAGTTGGATCGAAACTAGGGACGTCCCTGGGGAAAAATCAAACTTGATAATGCTTTTTGATAAATACATTCCAGTTTGTTTGGAAAATGTGAGGACGAGGTTCAAAAAAATAACCCCAATCACAGAAACATCGCATCTTGCCATGTTGTGTCATTTGCTAGACTGCATTTTGACGCCCAGTAATACACCACCTGACTGTCCAAAAGAGTGGTATGAGTTGTATTTTGTTTTTTGTTGCGTCTGGGCTTTTGGATCGGCAATGTTTCAGGAACAGGTATGTGTTATAAATCAAAGTTAGTTCTGAAAACAACAAAACTTCGATAACGAATAAACTATGCAGTAAAATATTACAGAACAAAGGTTTTATTCTGAGTTTACTACATTTTGAGTGTGAAATTGTAATAAATGTTGATATTTTCGATATTACTCTAAAATATAGTTCAATAATGAATCCTTTGAGACAAAATGTTTAGAAAACAACAGATGGAGTAGATATTTTACATTTAGTTGCAATGATGTCGATCCAATATTATATATTTAAAACAAGTATATAGGTTAATTTAACCTGGAAAGTCCAGGGCCTATCAAATCAAATCAAATCAAAATATACTTTATTGTCAGAAAATTTTGCATCCCATTGACAAAGACTTGTAAGTATAAATATAAATAAAAACTGGTAATTTACAAACGTTTGAATACAACAAGTACAAATACAATAAAAATTAAATGAAATACACTTTTTTTCTTAAAAAAATGATTCATTGTATGTTGTTGTACTCAATGTGCTCTCAATGAGAGTTAAAGATATTCTTTATTTTAGGCAACCGATTATAGAGTGGAATTTACCAAATGGTGGGTGAATGAATTTAAAACTGTCAAATTTCCGACAGGAGGAACAATTTTTGACTATTTCATTGATAATGAAACGAAACAATTTGTTCCGTGGACTGAAAGCTTAGGTCGTTTCGAATTAGATCCAGACATCCCACTACAGGTAATCACTTATTGTTATAGTAGTCATATCTATGAAACTCTTCTTCTGAGGTATTTTTCTTGTAGGCAGTGCTAGTTCATACAACCGAATCCATCAGGATCAGATACTTCCTGGATCTTTTGATGGCAAAACGCCATCCTGTAATGTTAGTGGGAAATGCTGGATGTGGAAAAACTGTGCTAGTCAGTGAAAAACTCGCTTCTTTATCTGATAATTATGCAGTGACAAACGTTCCATTCAATTTCTACACAACCTCAGAGATGCTTCAGAAAATTCTGGAAAAACCGCTTGAGAAGAAAGCTGGTAAAAATTACGGTCCTCCTGGAAATAAAACTCTCATTTATTTCATAGATGATATGAATATGCCAGAGGTTGATGGGTACGGAACTGTGCAACCCCACACTCTGATTAGACAACACCTAGACTATAAGCACTGGTGAGTATCTTTGAAAAATTCAACTGATCCGGTGATTCAATTCAAATAACCCCTTTTTAAATTCAATCCAAAATCCATTTTTTATTTTCATTATATTCAAATCTCTCCTTAGGTATGACAGAAATCGTCTCACTTTGAAAGATATCCACAACTGCCAGTATGTGTCCTGTATGAACCCTACGGCAGGCAGCTTCACCATAAATCCAAGGCTCCAACGTCATTTTTGCGTCTTCGCCATAAGCTTCCCTGGTACTGAAGCTCTCACATCCATCTATTACTCGATTTTGAGCCAACACCTTTCCAACATGGAACACAAGTTTCCATCTTTCATCGTGAAAATGGGGGAGACCATCGTTACAGCAACTGTTGCTCTGCATCATAAAGCTTCGCAAATATTTCTGCCAACAGCTGTGAAATTTCACTATATTTTCAATTTGAGAGACATTTCAAATGTTTTTCAGGTAAGATTGAAGTAGTAATTTCATAATTATCGTGTCTCAGATTTATAATCTTTCATCGTACTGAACAATAATGGAAGAAAATTCTCTGCATTGATTCTTTCCGAAGGAATGGGATCTCTTACCCCTTGGATTGGTCGTTTACTTCTTTGTTTTTACAAAAATGGGCTGACTTGATTGTACGTCTTGTGTTCTTCTGTTATAAATATAATTTCAGTATTTTTCAATGTGGAATAGTCTCTTAAGTAGTTTGTCAATGTAAATGTCTGTATCTTTCAACTATTTTTTTGAATCCCACAAACAGCCTATCACTAACTCTAGTTATGAAATTGATGATGTGTGTTGTTCCGATCACGTTAGGTTTCTATGAACAAATGGATAGCACTGTACCGGACAACTCGGTGAGTTCCTTGGTGGAAAAATTCGAATAACAAAAAATTCGAGTAGCCAAGAAACAATATTGATACCTGGGCTACTTTTATGATACATTCGTAATATGAAAACATAGTAATTCGCAACATATTTTCCTTTAATAGTGAATCTCTTTAATGTCCCCCCCTTTTACTTTTTACTTTTTGAACGGGTCAACTCAAAAAATTGAAATTTGAGATAATGAAATTAATGGATAAATACTTTATTTTGAAGTAAAATTGACAAATGAAACTTTCAAGATGGCGACTGGGCACCATCTGGGAAAGAAATAAATTAAATGGAAAGGGGGCTCTTGTGACATCATTTTGAAGCTCCTGGCGAATTCTTTACAACCCTAGAATATGAAATCAATATCTGCACCAACTACAAAATGGCGGAACATTCAATAATTTCCTGGAGACAAACACATTAAAATCGATATTTTTATAAATATTTTATTTTATCTGCCATATGGCAATTCCAACAACCCGATAAGGATTATTAAGTTATTTTTTGTTTGAAGGTGATTGACAATGTTTCATGATGAATTTCACTAGTTCGGACTTCCATTGTCTACTATATAAAATGATTTGAAATCCCTGAAACAACTAAAAAAAGAAGAATTAAAAATAAGATAGCTGAAAATAATAATTATATTAACCAAAATAAACCTGAAATTAAATAATAGTGAAATAAAATACAAGTAAAAATAGAACGATTGAATAAATAAAAATAAAGAAATTAAAAAAGAAAGAAAATAAAAATAAAAAGTGAAGAGATTCCAAGTCACGTTAGCTCACGACGTTTCAATTGTTAGTATCTACAATCGTCTTCGGGTGATGACTGGACTGATTCCTCCGAGAGATGACTATTTATAGGTCGTTCGAGTACTTTCACTTATCCCCGCTTTCCATTTTCCGCTTCACTGGTTCCGTGGGAGATGACCGTTTTGGCGGTAGTTGGCCATTTTTCGCTTGATGATGGGACGAGTGGTCCCAAGCTGAGATCTTGCACAGAGAGGAACAATGGTTTAGGAGAAAATTCAAGGAAGCCGCATACATGCTGTCCAACAACGTATTCAGCCAAGCCAGCGTAGAAATACGCAACATATGGAAACCCATCATCAAGCGAAAAATGGCCAACTCCCGCCAAAACGGTCATCTCCCACGGAACCAGTGAAGCGGAAAATGGAAAGCGGGGATAAGTGAAAGTATTCGAACGACCTATAAGTAGTCATCTCTCGGAGGAATCAGTCCAGTCATCACCCGAAGACGATTGTAGATACTAACAATCGAAACGTCGTGAACTAACGTGACTTGGAATCTCTTCAATTTTTATTTTTAATTCTTCTTTTTTAGTTGTTTCAGGGATTTCAAATCATTTTATATAGTAGACAATGGAAGTCCGAACTAGGGAAGTTATTTTTTGTTCATACAAACGACAAAAAATGTCAATACGACAATGAACATCATTGTTCAGTTAGAATATTCTCATTTAGTTTTCAGTTTTACTAGTAGAAAGGTACCACGTCAACAATCTCTAAAATGGTCAATTCTCGTCCATTGGAAGAAAAAATTGAAGAGATTTTTATTTACGGTGCGACACGTAACTTTCACGAGACCGAAAGGATTTTCAAACAACGTTTTCCGAATCGTCCTATCTATAGAAAATATTTGAGGAAACTTGTATCCAAATTCACAACTAGCGGTAGTGTACATAACAAAAAGCCCCGAGGTCATCCGTCTATTCCGAAAGAACAGCAAGTGCACATAATTGGTGAGATGGTTATAAAACCTGAATAGTCTATTAATTATGTCGCGAATGATTGTGAGATGTCCCTTCTACTGTGTGGAGACTTTTGAAGAGGAATAGGTATATACAAAATTAAAATGGTACACACGAAGAACATAATTCTGCGAAATCATGACGGAAACCATTGCAAGGCATCCTACATACCTCCACAATATTTGTTTTAGTGACGAATGTACATTTTCTTCAACCAGCAATGTTCACAGACAAAATTGCCGTTATTGGAATAACGGGAATATTGGGGAACCATTTTGTAGGACCTCTATTTATTGATCAAAATTCAACAGAACTGTATTTGAATATGCTGGAAACCACTGTTGACCCTCTCATCACTGAAATCGTCGAAGCGAATCCTAATGAATTCGATATGGATATTGTATTCCAACAAGATGGAGTACCACCACATTACTCAGACAAGTAAGAAACTAGTTGGATACTACTTTTTCCGGTCGTTGGATTGGCCGTCGAGGTTCTACAAAATGGCCAGCCCGCTCACCAGATTTGACACCTTTGGACATTTTATGGGGTTATTTGAAGCAGAAAGTGTACGAAACTGAACATGCTCCAATATTGGATGTACGGCAGAGAATAATGAATATTTGTAGAGATATTGATGTTACTGTGTTCGAAAATGTTCGGCGTGAAATATCGGATAGGCTGTTCATATGTCAAGAAGTTCAAGGCAACCATTTCGAGCATCTTCTGATCTGACCTCAAGCTTATTACCTCATATTATGTAGTTAAATGTCAATGTATTCAGGCAATTATTAAAAAGGTCATTTTGTAGTAGTTGAAGATATTGACATTATATTTTTGGATTGTGAAGCATTTGTCAGGAGCTTCAAGAGACTCCCTTTCCATTTAATTTTCTTTTCCCAGATGGCGCCCAGTCGCCATCTTGAAAGTTCAATGTGTCAATTTCAAGTATTCATGCATCAATTTTATTATCCCAAATTTCAATTTTTTGAGTTGACGCGTTCCAAAAATAAAAGGGGGTGGGACATTGAAGAAATGCGCTGTAACTAAACGTTAATAACCCAAAATGCAATTAACAATGGAACAGGAAACTCGTGAAACAATCGCTTTTATGGAGGTACTTTTGAAACTCATAAAACAATCGCTTTTTTGGAGGTACTTTTGAACAGATGTGAAAATGGGACTCTGGGATACAGAGTGTGTAGGAAACCAACACGTACAGATAAATATCTAAACAAAAACTCCCAACCACCAACGATAACAGTAGTTGACTCGTATTATGAGAAACTGGTGAACTTGATGGATACGGGTGAGTGCCCTGTTGGGATCTTTTGTAATCTCAGCAGGACATTTGACTGTGTAGATCATAGTATTTTACTAGATAAGTTTCAAGAGATATGCAAAAAGGGCATTCCCCACTATTGGCTGCACATCTTCGATTCAAGAAGGCACTACATTTCTATCGACATAATTGTATCTATAAAACGAGCAGTCACAATTGGTATCCCTCAAGGCTCGGTTTTGGGACCAATTCTTTTTATATTACTCATGAATGATTTGAATGACTTACCAGTTCAGTCTTCTTTCACTATGTAAGCAGATGATACGCCACTGCTCATTTCAGATAAATCAGACTTCTGTCAGATAAATGCAATGAGACTTTCTCGTATGGGAATCATTGGTTCAGTGCAAACCTTCACCTGAACATGGAAAAACTTCATTAGATTCCATAATCGTCAGAAAAGCTATTCCGATGTGATAAAAACTGGTTAATGTAAAAATTGTTCAACAAGTCAGGTCTTTAGGTGGATTAGTGCCTCACTTGAAGTAATCACTGTCAACACTACAATTCAAATTAAACTCCAACACATAATAATTCAGAAATCTCAAACTCGTACATAACGAGGAACAACTCCTAAAATTATAATATGCTCAGCTTGATTCCAGACGGGGTTCGCTTCTGGGGCCTATCTACCTCATAATCGGATGTTTTCATTGCGCAGAAGCTTATTATTCGTACTATAGTTGAAGTTTCGAAACGCACATCCTGTATCTAAAAATATTTACACTTCGATCACTGTTAATTTTTTAATTGTCTTAATACGTAAAAAATCGTAGTAATTTCACACCGAACAACTCCAGATACGAATACAAAACACGCCAACAAGACCATCTTTATATTTCTTTCAGTTGTACAAAAATTCATTATGTTTGTACTAGAATAATGGCTCCCCGGATTTACAATTCATTACCCGACGGAATAAAAAAGTGTTAAATACTCTTATGTTTTTAAAACAAATTAAAACAGTTTCTAGTGATGAAGTGATTCTATTCTGCAAAGGAATATTTACAAACTTGATATGTTGTCTGCTCATTCCTTTCTTTGTTTTTGTAATGTGACTATATAGTCTTAATTTATTTATGTGTTCAATTTTATTTCATTTTACTCACCTTTGTTGACGAATCCAATACCATTTTTAATTATCAAATGGAAAATAAAATATTATTATTATTATAGCTTCGACAAAAGAGAGGGTAATTTAAATGTTAGTTCAGACAACGTCTTCCAAATGAATGAATATTACGAAGCCCAAGTTGTTGAGGCAATTCTACTAAGGAAAGGTAAAGCTATGGAGGCTGGGAGAATCACAACACATATAATCGATATTCAGGCCAATAAAAATCGTCTAAAGTCAGTAAACGTCTGCAGGTTACCAACAAATGAGTATTAGCTGAACTCACACTCAGAGAATTCACGTTATCCCATTTAAAGATATCCAAGTTGAATCCAAAGTTCAAAATACAGGGTGTAACTGAATAAGTGTAAAACATTCAAGGAGGTGATTCCTCAACGAAAAAAAGATAGGATTTTTCATATAAAGAAACTTCATTGGAGCATCCCTTGTTGAGATACAGCCCCTTAAGGGGGGTCCATAAAATTTGTAAAACAATTTTTTTCACTAGCACTGAAAAAGTTACAATATTGAAATTAACCTGACGTTTTGTACTACCAAAAACACACTTAGACAGTAATTTATTTGGTTTACCCCATGATTGTAAAGGGTGGAAAATGCAACCCCTAAAATTTATTTCCAATGTAACTTTTTGTCTTATCAATTTTTTACCATTGGGTATAAGAATTGTTCCTTTAAAATTCGAAATACCGTCATATGATCAAGATTTAGCTGGAAAGCAATCTTTCTAGTACTGGTAGTAGGTTGTTCAAATTAAGTACTGCTTCCTCAAGCTGTGGTGTTTGTATTTCTCGATGGCGCCACAATCCTGCGTTCTGCGTTCACAATGAAGTCGAGAAAATATTCTATGTGAAGGATGCTGCCGTTGAGGATACATTTCAGCATATCTTCTAGAAGCTTCTAACCCATTCCCCTGCGACAGACCGTAAACGTAATGCATATCAGCCATTTCCTCATTTGTATATGCTATTTTAATAACAAGTGAATTATTAAAGTAACAAATTAAAATCAGAACAACAACACACAATTAGTATTCATTGAATTCAATTTCAAAAATTCACAAACTGACAGCGTCATACCAATTTAATTGTCACTACCGCTAATAGCGATCTACTAGATAGATTAGTTTCGTATTTTCGCATTTATGACGATGTATCTCTGTAGCTGTTCCTGAAATAATTTTTTGCTGCAAACTGGTTTATTTTGGGCAAAAAACCCATGAGAAATTTTTTTTTAGAATGAAACAGACTATCGGAAATAAATTTTTAAATGGTAAAGAAATGATAAGACAAAAAGTTACATTGGAAATAAATTTTAGGGGTTGCGTTTTCCACCCCTTACAACCATGAGGTTAATCAAATAAATTTCTGGCTAAGTGTCTTTTTGGTAGTACAAAACGTCAGGTTAATTTCAATATTGTAACTTTTTTAGTGCTTGTGAAAAAAATTGTTATACAAATTTTATGTACCCCCTTTAAGGGGCTGTATCTTAACAAGGGATGCTCCAATGAAATTTCTTTATATGAAAGATCCTATCTTTTTTTCGATGAGGAATCGCCTCCTTGAATGTTTTACACTTATTTAGTTACACCCTGTATAAAGCATTTTGACGAACCCTGTTATCCTGTAATCCCAGTTTGTTAGCACCTCTATCATTATACGGACTGGTTATTACTCCTGTACTACTCTACCCTACTCCCTCATCTATCCATCCATTTTCCAATTCTCACTTCTTTATTGATTTAACCATTTTTTTCAAGCCTCTCGTTTCTGGGAGAGATTCATAATTTTTTGGTCTCCATTTCAAATCCCTGTTTCCATATTTTATTGAACAAAGGTACAATGAAAAAAATTTAAATAATAGCTCACCTTGCATAAAGGTTATTGATATGAGTAACAAGACATTACGTATTATCTTTCACGAGAAGACAGTGATGGATTATGTGGCTATTCAATAAATTCTCTTGATATTACCATATGTCACAAAAAGGATTCGAAGCTTTATAACTTCAATTAATTATATGCGAGCGCTTTCGACAGCTGGTCGTGCTATCATCTTCTTGGCCCTACTCAGCAGAGGTGATAGCACCAAACCGTTATTTTAACACCTCGACACGTGTTTCGATCATCAAGTGATCATCTTCCAGTAATACTCATTACTACACCAAAGGTTCCAAACAGTGTATCACAAGTGGACACCAATATGTCTTAGCACAATCAAATCGCTGTAATTACGAAGGCTGCTTCTCAAAAGCTTAGAACACCGTTCCGCACCAGATCAGACCCTCTTTGGAATATTGTTCTCATGTTTGGAGCTCCCCCCAAGCATACACTGAAACTGCTGGCTTCCATCCAGAAAAGAGCCATCCGCCTGATTGGAGAAGCGAACATTAATTGCAACCTTGATAGTCTGGAACATCAAAGAAAGGTTGGAGATTTGTCTCTCTTCCATAGATACTTTCACAGGATGTGTTAAAGTGACTTCGCACACTTGATTCCACCAAGAGTGGTACATATACCAAATACTCGACCAACTGTGGCTGCTCATCTTTTTGAAGTTCAACTCAGTACACCTCGAACTTCACTCTTTAAGAACTCTTTCATTTGGAGAACCGTACATATGTGGAATGAACTTCTTGGGAACGTTTATCCAAATGGATTTAATCTCCAGCGATTCAAATCCAATGTGAATCACTAATTCCGCACAGGCGGAGGATTTTCCTGTAGTGCTTGTGTTTTGTCCTTAAAAAACTCATTATGTAAAAGCCAAATGTCAATCTTTCTTTAAATTACTGATACATTTTTTCAGGGTCTACTTTTTAGCACCAACGAATGTCTCAATGGACCTACAGATTTAGTTAGACTGTGGTTACACGAGTGTCAAAGAGTATACGGAGATAAACTGACAGAAGAGAAAGATATCGATGCTTTCGCCAAATTACAGTTGGATACGTTCAAAAAGAACTTCGAGGTATGAATAATCCAAAGAGAATCAAACGAAACAGTATAGTTTAGCATATCATGGGTGGGATATAATCGATAAGAATATATTAAAAATACCAAAAACTGTCTGACATTTGTGCAATGGTCTATTTATAATTATTTTTTACTCCACTATAAAGTACTTGAAATGCACGAAATGCACGTCGAGAGACGATGCAATAGTTCTATTGTGTAAAAAGTAGTCTAAATCAAATTATTTTTGACGTGTCATTTTTCAGACGTACATGGGAGGCATAAAACTGATTCATTAGATACATTTATTACATTTAGTTCTCAAATTCATTTCAGACTGAAAACTTGAAAAATTATTCGATTTACAAATGTGTACTATAAGGTTTGATACTTTACAATTAGGAGGATATTATGTTGTCATTTCACTTTTGATAACACACAGTATACAGTGCATTTATTTATTTTTTGAACGGGTCAACTCAAAAAATTGAAATTGGGGATAATGAAATTAATGCATGAATACTTTATTTTGAAATGAAATTGACAGATGAAACATTTAAGATGGCGACTGGGCGCCATCTGGAAAAAAAATTAAAGGGAACATCAATTTTTGAATAATTTTAAGGAAATCGATGAATCCATAGTGTTTGAGAAACCAAACATCTACTGCCATTTTGCTGGCGGAATAGGTGAACCGAAATATATGCCGATAAAAAAGTGGACAACACTGAACAAGTTGCTGAACGAAGCGATGTCCAGTTACAACGATTTAGTAGCAGCAATGAACCTGGTACTTTTCGAAGATGCCATGATGCATATTTGCAGGTAGGTTAAGCTTTCTCTCAATGCATTTTTGAAACTTTTGAAAAATCGGTACGTCTTCAAGAGTTTTGGAATCGAAGTTCTTAGACGTTCAATTCTTGGGCCTCTATCATTGTATTATGAAGTTGTCGAATATTTTCTGATGTATTGAATCATTCTTTCACCTATATATTTTATTGCCGAGGTATTCTTATTATTTCCACTATGTATTTTAGAATCAACAGAATTTTGGAATCGCCTCGAGGAAGTGCACTACTAGTGGGCGTTGGAGGAAGCGGAAAACAGTCATTAGCTAGATTAGCTGCTTTCATCTCATCACTGGAAGTAGCACAAATTCAACTCAAAAAGGGATATGGCGTATTAGACTTAAGAAATGAAATGTCGTCATTATTCCTGAAGAGTGGATTGAAGAATGTTGGAATAATGTTTCTCATGACCGATGCTCAGGTTTGTACTGATATATTTAAAAAATCTCGAGAGGCCATGTTTGTGTATTTTGTTCATTGTCCACCAGGTTCCCAATGAACAATTCCTTGTCTTGATCAATGACATGCTCGCTTCCGGGGAAATACCTGACATGTTTCCAGATGATGAAATTGAAAACATCATAGCTGGAGTGCGGAATGAGGTGAAAGGAGCTGGGATGCTTGACACGAGAGAAAACTGCTGGAAATTCTTCATAGATCGAGTACGGAGGCAATTGAAATTGGTATTATGCTTTTCGCCAGTTGGTTCCACTTTGAGAGTAAGATCCAGGAAATTTCCCGCTATCATAAACTGTACCCAGGTTAACTGGTTCCACGAATGGCCACAAGAGGCGTTGGTATCGGTCGCTAGCACCTTTTTAGAAGAACTAGAAGTTCTACCGGTGAGTTATTGAAGATAACCTTCTTACATATCTTTAGCATTACTGGTGTCATACTTCAGGGAGCCTTGCGAGATTCTTCGGCTCGTTTCATGGCTTATGCGCATGCATCGGTCAATAATATCTCGAAAGTATTTCTTGCGAATGAAAGAAGATATAACTATACCACTCCAAAGTCGTATCTGGAACAAATTACATTGTATTCCAAATTGCTTCGTCAGAAAAACAAAGATTTGCAGTCCAAGGTAAGATTACGATTATTAATATCATTATTATCCTGAAAGATAAGCTGGTCGGGCCCTGTCTCAGAAGCTCTGATAGAGTTGGAGCTTCGGGGACATGGCGTTATGCACTACATCATTATGAACTAATGACCACTCCCCACATCATGGGGTGAGTGGATTATTGAGTCCAAGAATCATGTGCCCTGAATATACTATTATTATTATTATTATTATTATCCTCCTAAGGTTGTGCTGATTGAGCCCTATTCTTTGAAGTTCCTATACAATCAGGAGGGTGCGCCAGTATTATCAAACAATGACCACTCCCCATACCGTGGGGAGTCAAGAATGACAGGCTTCTATATTTGTCCGACTAAGATTTCTGCCTTAGTACAGCCAGCCGGCATGATTTTGAGATTCGATAGCAGAGAGGGCATCTTTTCACTAAGAACTATAATGATTAGAACAACAATTTTGACAGAGTGGTCTGGATAAAGTCTGCGAAGTTCGAAAATAAAATCTCGATATTTTATCCGTTTTTCTTCCTATTTTCGGACTATATTCGTCTCGCCAGGAGCTAAAAACTCCACAAGAAATATCGTCTTGCTCTGGTGGTCGAGATGCACTACATCAGGCTCGAATAGGGAACGAATAGTTCCAATGAGTTTGGCACTTCTCGTTTCCCACAACGGATTCGAAATCTCCCGGAGCGTAGGGCATCCCCAGCGTATCGTCAATACCGTAAAATTGCCCTAGGTGATAATACATCACTCTTAGGGCCGCGTTATGTCGATGGATATGGAATTGGCCGCGGTGGTAGTGCGCCCAACTCACGATCGGAAGACCGTGGGTTAGATTCCTGCCTCAACCAGATATTTTTCTCGAGAGAATTTATCTGGTTGAAGCTGGGATGATTCTGCAACCGTGTTAGGAATCACATGTTGAAAGGTAAGACCTCGTTAGTCCTTAGCTCGCACAAGTTTCTCAACTTCTGAGAGTTGTCGTTCGTATGGGGGCGACAGCTGATTAACGGAAAAACAGATTTTTTCAAACAGATATAGGCTGAGACGCATATGCTGGGCATGCTGACATCAAGTGCATTATGGTATCAGACGCCTCGCGGCAGGCCATGCACCTTGTGTTAGGAATATCTAGAACCATTACGCGCCTGCGGTAGACTCAGGTGTTGAAGATACCATCCTGGCAGACGATGATTAACCCCTCAGTTTCTGACTTCAGCCCCCTCGACCTGAGGAAAGTGAAGGTCAGGCGCTTTGATAAGCCATGATCTTCAGTGTTATTGAAGAAGACTCCAAACATTGGCTTATCCTTGTGTTGCAGCAGGAGTGAAGTGTCTCTGCGGCTTTCATATGGCCCTTTTGCTGAACGGGTTCCAACTTGGTGACAGAGTTATCACTACCTCGTTCAGTGTCGAAAACTAAGCCGAGTTCACCACCTGCTCGGGCAGCTGTCCTAGAGAGAAATACTCTAATTTCTGCTCTCTCATGGTCGACGACCATGTAGAGAAGGGAATCCTAACTCCTAACGACTTAACAGGCTCCATCCAGTACCATTATGTCATTTAGACATTCCAAACTCAAAAGACCACGGCCTCCCTGTTGTCTGGGAAAGTACAACAGTGGAACGTACGATTTGGGATGCAAACTCCTATTGAGGTGCATCGTTATTCGGATCTTTACGTCGAGTTAATACAGTTTCTCCCGAGTTCACTCCACTACTCCAAACGAGTAGAGTAGGTTTGCAACGGCAGACATATTCGTTACAGAAACTTTGGTTTATCCCCAATTCCGATGACGAGATCTGTCGAATTTTGTTCTGATACTTGCCGCGGAGAGTTCATCACTGCATTTGAGTGGCGTTGTTCCACCCCAGGTGAGTATACACCTCTCAGGTAGCCATATGGTGCAGGATGTTTCCATCTTTGAGCTGCACACCCTTTCCGTAGTCCCTGCACCGTCCTCTTTTGAGAAGGGCCGTTGCACATTTGCCTATCTCAAATTCCATGCGCTGATGGAATGATGGAGATCCTTTTCTCCAAAGGCATGAAGTTTGAGATCATTCGAATGAAACAAATGGGTGACCTTGTGCTTCCGGTTTCCGGGGGTACCACAGTTATACCCTCGAATAATTCTGAGCGTAAAGGATAATGGCAATATTGAGATGCAGAAGAGAAGAGGAGTGAGTGAATCGCCCTCAAATACACCCTTCTGGAAGTGGCCCACCCTGTTTGGAATCTTGCCTAACTGGATGTTATGGTGGAGTGAGTCTGCCAGAGTGGTATCAGTTGTTCAAGGCATCTTACTATTTTGTCGGGTACCGCAAGGCATCTGAGCAAATGCAAGATGAGCTCAGGCGATGTTGCATCAGATGCTTTGCGGTAATCGATCCAGGCCATAGAGAGGTTACGCTTATACTGTATCGAGTTCTGCTTAAACATCTATCGATGAGCATGTTATAAACATATTATCGGCCTTTACGTAATTCTCAGGAATCGACAAATTTCCGCTCTTTGCGGACTTAAATACAAGTTGAAACTCCTCATCGATCTCAGATATGATGAGGTGAATCTAGCAGAAAAATATTTTTCAACGTGCCATATTTTGCTATATTTGATATTTTATTTCGCAAGTTGAATAATTTTGTATTTATGGATTCCATCAAGGTACTCAGATTAGAAAACGGCTTAGACAAATTAAGAAGCACTGCAAAACAGGTGGATGAGTTGAAGAAAAAACTGGCTATCCAGGAGATCGAGCTTAAAGAAAAAAATGATGCAGCAGACAGGCTCATCGAAATAGTGGGAGTAGAAACTGAAAAGGTGTCGATCGAAAAGAATCTGGCTGATGAAGAGGAAGAAAGGGTTGCGGCTATCGCTGAAGAAGTATGTAAAAAGCAGAAAGACTGTGAGGAAGACTTGGTGAAAGCTGAACCAGCTCTGCTAGCAGCTCAAGAAGCCCTGAATACTTTGAACAAGGCGAATTTAACGGAGTTGAAATCTTTCGGTTCTCCACCAGGTATTTCACATTCCATCTGAGAAATAATACACTTCTTATCATAATAATATCTTCCTAGTAACGAATGATTAATAAAAATCTATACATTGCAGTTTTTGTTTGTATTTATTTCAGATTTTTTTTCATAGTGTACATGTATGATGCTATGATAAAAATCCCAATTATTGTTTTGTGGTGTTGTTATTTTAAAGAATTAATATCCCACATTCTATGATACCACAGGGAAAAACTCTAAAAATGTATTTATCTGAATCGTTATTCATTTTTTTAGATGAAAAATAGATACAATTTTCAAAGCTCAATATATCAACACACCAACATATTTTTCGGCACTTTTAGGAGCTGTCACCAACGTTACTGCAGCTGTTATGGTTCTCCTCTCTCCCGCTGGTAAAGTGCCCAAAGACCGCAGCTGGAAAGCAGCAAAAATCGTCATGGCGAAAGTAGACGCCTTCCTTGATTCCCTCATTAACTACGACAAGGAAAACATTCATCCTGAAGTGATCAAAGCGATAGAACCGTATCTGAAAGACGCAGAATTCGAACCTGAGTTTGTAAGATCAAAATCCGCTGCTGCAGCTGGCCTCTGTGCTTGGGTTATCAATATAATAAAGTTCTATGAGGTATTCTGCGATGTGGAGCCTAAAAGGAAAGCTTTAGCTGCGGCTAATGCTGAGTTGGCAGCTGCTCAAGAGAAACTGAATAGTATCAAGAAGAAAGTAGCGGTAAGTGCAAGATTGGTTTCTTTTACCACCGAACTTATCAAAAAATGTGTTCTCTAGGAAACATTTTTTATTCCTTTTCTGAAATATTCAGTTATTGATTTTTTTCAGTCTCTGGAGGAACAGTTGGCAAAACTGACAGCAGATTTTGAGACAGCTACCACAGAAAAACTCTTGTGTCAGCAAGAAGCTGATGCGACTAATGCCACAATACAGTTAGCCAATAGGCTCGTTGGTGGCTTAGCTAGCGAAAATGTTCGTTGGGCAGAAGCCGTGAACAGGTAATTTAGAAATATCTGTTTCAAGTTGAACCAAAACGAATTTTCAAAATGATTGAGGTTACTACTTCTATTTCTCTGGTAACAGTATGGATGTTTGGTATACCTGATGAAACTTAGAAACAATAGAACATATCTTTCAAATAAAATATGTTGATCAATATATGGAAGTTTACTTAATTACAGAGAATCATTTTTGATTCTATTTAGGTCTGAATATCAAATCCATAATGGCATTGCTTTGTCATATTAATGACGACTGACCAATCTCTGATCTCTTCTGCTATCACCGTAAACTAATATTGAATTTTGGCAAACCCTTTTCTATAAATACCCAAATTATACCCATTTTTTGAAAATTATTCTTCAATCGCAATGAATTTTTCACTCTATACCTATAACAAAATAGCTCAGTTATGCTGAGAGATTTTCGCCTCCAGCGTTGAATATTACCAAAACAAACCTTTCGAAACTCCTAGCTAAGTTGGCGGCGCGACTCTGGTGTTTGAGGTCAGAATTTGTTTTGGTTTTCTCCTCATAGTAATTTTCTGGCGTATCAAAAAATTGTTTAAAAATGATTTTCTAGTTTCATAGAGAACGGAAAAATGATGCCTGGAGATGTACTTTTAACGACAGCTTTCATATCTTATGTGGGATGCTTCACGAAGCAATATAGACTGGATCTACTTTACAAAATGTGGTTACCATTTCTCAACACCTTAGAAGTGAGTCGCATTGCTTCTGAAGATATCTGAAGTATAAAGTGTTATTGTGTTTCAGCCACCTGTACCCATTACGGCAAATCTGGATCCTCTTTCACTGCTGACAGACGATACTATCGTTGCCAAATGGCATAATGAAGGGCTACCAAGTGATAGAATGTCCACAGAGAATGCAACAATTTTGTCCAATTCTGAACGTTGGCCTTTGATGATTGATCCACAAGTAAATAAAACTTAAGTTTCAAACAAAAGATATCATATCGTGAATATTACTGGAGTTTTTTTCCAACACCAAATAGTTATTTTTAACACCTCGACACGTGTTTCTATCACCAAATGATCATCTTCAAGAAGAAGATTAAACTGGAAAACTCATTAAGCTAACCCTATTTATGCTATACAGGTATACCACACATACAGGTATACCACACCTTTGGTATCTTAAATTAATTTTATAATTTGCCTTATCTATTAATTTTACAACATGTCCATATGTAATGTTTAAATGTTATAGTTATATATAAAATAATTTTCAAGCTGTATAAAAATTAATTTCACAATATTACCTATCTAAATTTATTTTTACCATGTGTCCTTATGTAATAGTAAATCTAATAATATTATTTTAACAAAAGCTATATAGTATGCTGTTTTGTATTGATCCGTCAACGTTATTCATAATATTATTATGTTTACTTATTTCTACACCCTCTTAGGTATCTAGTTGCCAGTTGTTGTTAACTTGTCTAACTAATCTTAATGAACTAAAGTCTATGGAATGGTTTTGTTGCAAAATATGATGAGTGACTGCCGATTTTTCAGGTCTTCCATATTTTAAGTGTGCTAGGCTTATATCTTACTTTAATAGATCTTTTTGTCTGTCCATAATATTTTGCATCGCAGTCCTTACATTCAATTTCGTGAATTCCAGACTTTTCGGAATTCTTGACTTTGTCGTTTGGACTTCCCAAAAGGCTCTGTGGATGAATGTGTGGCTAGTGGATGAATTGTTTCAAAAACCACCTTCATACCTAGTTCCTTGAAAATCTTTCCAAAGTTCTTCGTGTATTGATGGTATGGAACTGAGATGTTTTTTTCTTGGTTTTTGTCCTTTCTGGAAGTCGAGATTTCGTTCATTCTCAACCTAAACTTTTTCTTCCTTATTATGCCATCTACAATACTCCTCGAGAAACCGTTAGTGGCAGCTATTTCCTGAATTGTACGTTTATCTTTTGTGAACATCTCATGTGTTAGAGGGAAAGTCAAAAGACGCTGCAGTGAAAAGTTCAACCCAGACATTTGTGCTGTCCACAGTGATGTGAACTGTCAGGAATCTACCTGTACGTGCTTGTTTCTTTTCTAATTATATCGTATTCTAACCTTCCATATTGACTCATCTTTACCAAAACGTCAAGAAATGGTAGTTGTCCCTTATTTTCTAACTCATACGTGAATTTTATTGATGAACATCAATTATTTAAAAAAGGAAACAAAGTCCTCAATATTCGATCTTTTGGTATCGAATATCGCGGAAATATCATCCATATACCTTAGCCTTTTCTTTGGTTTCCATTTCAAATCTGCTCATGAACAGGTCTGCCAGGTAGAAGGACAAGGGGTTTCTCATAGCCGTTCCTTCCAGTTGTTCATAAAAGCAACCTTCTACCTGAAACCGATTTTGTTTCATACACAAATTAGTAAGAGAAACGAATTCATCGATTTATTATTATTATTGAAATTATTTTTTCCAGTAATTCCATGAGGTATTGCAAGATCTGTGGAATTGGGACGCTAGCAAATAAGGAAGTAACATCAAAAGAAACCAAAATGTCACCTTCTTGCAGAACGATGAAACCACCTTGCAGAACGATGTTTTTTGTATGTTGTATGAAGAGTTTTTCATACTAAAACCTGGTTCTGCAATAGACAAGGTTTCAAATTCCTTAGTGAGCCACTTTGCTATTTGGTAGGTAGGAGCTCCAATAGCTGACACGATGGGGCGCATTGATTTTCCCGGTTTGTGGATTTTTTGGAGGTAATATAGTTTCGACACCATTGGGTTGAAAACTTGTTAATTCCGTTTCAGTTGAGGGGTTAGTATGTTGTCGCATCTCTTGAGGACGTCTTTTACTTCGGCAATCATCTTTGCCAACGGGTTCCTGGACAATTTCGCATACGGTCCATTAGTAATGGACCTTTTTGTAGCAGTCCGATTTATCCAGAATTACTACTTTGTTGCCTTTGTCGGCTTTCAAATAAAAAACGTCCTTGTTTTTCAATCGTTTGATAATTTTCTTTTGGTATTTATCGTTGTTTATTGAATGCTTCCGTTTATCTGTTATCATGTTCCTGGAGATTTGATTCCTGACTTTTTCTCGAACTAGTCCCTTCGAGGAATCGGGCATATATTAAATCGAACTTTCAACACTAGCAACTATATCCTCAAGAGCTTTCTCGGAAGGCGGGATGCCAACTTTCAAACCGTTATTCGAAAGGTTGATCTCTTCCCTATCGAAAGATTGTAATGAATGATTTTCAACAATATTTATGACTTTCCAAGTGGTTTCTTTTGGTTCATTCTTAGATATGAGGGTTTTGAGTGTCTTGTTCAGCGTACACATTTTTCTGATATATTTTGATTCAATCATCCGAAATATTCCTCTCTGAAAGTCATTCCATTGTACGTAATCATTTTTATCTAATCTATATGTTAGTTTTTTATATAGACTATAGCTATCCAATTCTAAGAGACTACGGTTAGTTAACAGATGATCGATTTCTAAATCAAGCCACTTTTCTTTGGTGAATTTTTGGACTTAATCAACAACCCTTGCCTCAGTTGCTGATACTAATAATGATGTTGGAATATTCATTACTACACCAAAGGATCCAAACAGTGCATCATAAGTACATAATAATGGCCAGGTCAACGGAACTGAATCTGTATCGTAAGTACTCAACTAAAATTAGGCTAATTCAAGCAGATCAGTGTTGAAAATTATTCATCACAACCGTTTGATAAGGAATAGATCAATGTTTTGAATAAAGGTTTGAATTTTGGCATACCGCCTTCCGAGAAACTTATTAAGGATATCGTTACTAGTGTTGAAACTTCGATTCAATAAATGCCCGATTCCTCGAAGGGACTAGTTCGAGAAAAAGTCAGGAATCAAATCTCCAGGAAGATGATAACAGATTAACAGAAGCATTCAATAAACAACGATAAAAACCAAAAGAAACTTATCAAACGATTGAAAGACAAGAACGTTTTTTATTTGAAAGCCGACAAAGGTAACAAAGTAGTAATTCTGGATAAATTGGACTACTACGAAAGGGTCAATACTCTTATTAGTAACGGACAGTATGAGAAATTGTCCAGGAACCCGTTACTAAAGATGATTACCGAAATAAAAGACGTCCTCAAGAAATGCGACAACATACTTACCTCTCAAATGAAACGAAACTTGCAAGTTTTCAACTCAACGGTGTTGAAACTATATTACCTCCCAAAAATCCACAAACCGGGAAAATTAATGCGCCCCATCGTGTCAGCTATTGGAGCTCCTACCTACCAAATAGCAAAGTGGCTCACTAAGGAATTTGAAACCTTGTCTATTGTGGAACCAGGTTTCAGTGTAAAAACTCTTTAGAGTTCATACAACATACAAAAAAAGTCGTTCTGCAAGAAGGTGAGATTTTGGTTTCTTTTGATGTTAGTTCCTTATTTCCTAAGTCCCAATTCCACAGACCTTGCAATACCTCACGGAATTACTAGAGAAAAATAATTTTAATAATAATGAAATCGATGAAGGTGTTTCTCTTAGAAGGTTGCTTTTATGAACAACTGGAAGGAACGGCTATGGGAAACTCCTTGTCCTTCTACCTGGCAGACCTGTTCATGAGCAGATTTGAAATGGAAACCAAAGAAAAGGCTAAGGTATATGGATGATATTTTCGCGATATTCGATACCAAAAGATCGAATATTGAGGACTTTGTTTCCTTTTTAAATAATAGATGTCCATCAATAAAATTTACGTATGAGTTAGAAAATAAGGGACAACTACCATTTCTTGACGTTTTGGTAAAGATGAGTCATTGCGGAGGGTTAGAATACGATATAATTAGAAAAGAAATAAGCACGTTCAGGTAGATTCCTGATAATTCACATCACTGTGGACAGCACAAACGTGCTGGGTTGAATTTTTCAGTGCATCGTCTTTTGACTTTTCCTCTAACACATGAGAGGTTCACAAAAAAAAACGTACAATTCAGGAAATAGTAGTCACTAACGGTTTCTCGAGAGGTATTGTAGATGACATAGTAAGGAAGAAGTTCAGGTTAAGAATGAACGAAATCTCGACTTTCAGAAAGGACAAAAACCAAGATAAATGTATATCAGTTCCATACCACCAACACACGAAGAACTTTGAAAAGATTTTCAAGGAACTAGGTATGAAGGTGGTTTTTGAAACAATTCATCCACTACAGAGCTTTTTGGGAAGTGCAAAAGACAAAGTCGAGAATTCGGAAAAGTATGAAATTTACGAAATTGAATGTAAGGACTGTGATGCAAAATATGGACAGACAAAAAGATCTATTAAAGTAAGATATAGGAAACACCTAGTACACTTAAAATATGGAAGACCTGAAAAATCGGCACTCACTCATCATATTTTGCAACAAAACCATTCCATAGACTTTAGTTCATCAAGATTAGTTAGACAAGTTAACAACAACAAGCAACTAGATGCCTACGAGAGTGTAGAAATAAGTAAACATAATAATATTATGAATAACGATGACGGACCAATACCAAATAGCACACTAAATAGCTTGTTAAAATAATATCATTTACTGACTATTACATAAGGACACATTGTAACAATAAATTAAGATAGGCAGTATTGTAAAATTAATTTTTATGTAGCTATAACATTTAAACATTACATAAGGACATATTGTAAAATTAATAGATAAGGCAAATTGTAAGACACCAAAGGTGTGGTATACCTGTATGCGTGGTATACCTGTATGGTATACCTGTATAGCATAAATAGGGTTGGTTTCGCAAGTTTCCCAGTTCAATCTTCCTCTTGAAGATGATCACTTGCTGATCGAAACACGTGTCGCGGTGTTAAAAGTAACGATTTGGTGTTCGGAAAAAACTCCAGTAGTATTCATAACTATACTAAAGGTTCCAAACAGTGCATCACAAATATCATGTCGTGCCATTATTATTATGTTGTGCATCTTCCTGGTTGATCACCTTCAATAATATTTTTGTTCTGTTTTGAATTTGAGTGAAGGCCAATTCACAAAGAAAAGACGGCGAACGGGGACGAGGCGCGGACATTTGCCTTTTCCGTCACAGTCTAATATTCTGTGCTTCCACATCTTTCTTATGTAAACATATCATCCGTCGAACATAGAAGCGGCGATTGCGTCCCGTCTCCGTCTGACAGTCATTCTCTGTACATCAGTGCATATACTCCCAGTTGTTGTCATTTTTTAGTATCATCAGTAATCACCATAAACGTAATAATATTTTCGTAAATATATTAGGTCTTTCTTGCCTATCCATGAAAATACAATAATTACACGATTATCGAATATAATAAACAAAGGAATAAAAAATTACAACTCAAATTGATGTCCTAAAAAATATTGAAATCGATAAGTTTCAGTCAATATTATATTCACTATTTCAATTCTGATGTGGAGAGTGTTCAATTATGAATAAATCATAAAAACTTCTGTCAAATCTATTGGCTATGATAGTATGTAATGATCAACTTGTGGCAACTTGAACGAAAACGGCCACTAACAGTTTTTTCGGATAAATCTTTTAGATTTCTACTTCTCCATCATTACATAAGAAGTAGAAAAACATACGAAGAAAGAAAGAAAGAAATTAAATAGATCAATAAAAACTCTTCACGGAGATGTGTAGATCATGTACAGGAATTCATTTCATGTAGAAGTTGAGAAAAATCTAATTCGATACAACTGCCTCCAAATATATGAACATTTATTATCTCTTTTTCCATTCAGTTTGTAATTTATGAAACATACTCCCTATCAGCACCTGATTGTATAATATTGAAGAAGATACACTCAATCCCTGCGAAAAATTACCACTTTATGTCACCGAAACAGACATGTGGTCTTGAGATACATTGATGGTTCTTGAGAAAAATTCCTACGATTAGTTGATTTCATCCCTGCTATAGAAATATAATGATGGATACATAGAAATAAGTCAAAAGATGTTTTCTCAAAAACTAATCTATCCTCAGAAAATATCGTTCAATCAATGGCTATGGTTGGGAATAAATAAACTACACTTATGAATATTTTTTACGAACTGTCGTTGTGTCAAGAGCACATGTATCTCCTCCGGTATCATAAAGTCGTAATTATATGCAAGGATTGAGTTTATCTTTTTTTTCAAAATTATCCAAAATGATACTAATGAGAAGATGAGGTGCTAATGAGGAGTTGAGGTGTTTTTCACCCGAAACTTTGAAGTACACCTAGAAATTAGAAGTTTTCCAAGTGGGTGTAAATTTATATCAATGCTGTTTCATAACGTTTTTGTGAATAATTCAATTTCAATTCCATTACTATCGTTTAGAGTACAAAATGAATAGTTAAAAGTGATATAATGTTCATAGAGTTGAACGTAGGTGTTTTAGATAAATTTTTTCGCAGATTGTCTGAAAAGACTCTTGATCCAACATATTTGCAAAGAGTTTCTTTTGAGACATTCAATTTAGGGAAAGGCCGGGCAAAGTGAATACACTGGGCAAAGCGAATACACTACTCCTAAATTATTTGTGCGTGATTCAACACCCCACTACTGTAACATTTGACCATGTTGGGCCAATGAGCGGAAAACACCAGAGCAAGGGGCCGCGTCGCGTGTTGCCGATAGAGTGGAGATTTGTATTTTTGTGAAAAAAATATTGATTTTTTGATTGATTCGGCCGTTACTTGATGAAGATCCATAGTTATTTCAAAAACTACACCTCACGATTTGATCTTCACAAACTTCACATGATTCGATAGCACAGTAGATTTTTCAAGTGATTTATGAGGAATGAAACATGTGGGCATACTTGCCAGTGCAGAACGTAGTCAATTAACGACGATCATTGGTTATTGTTATGCTGCTGGTTCTTTTTTACCGCCATTTTTAATTTTTGCCAAGAAAAAAAATGCAGCTCAGACTACTTGATGGTGCGCCTCCCGGTACTCAAGGAACCTGTACTCCAAATGGTTGGACTACATGTGAGGTATTCCTTGATTGGATGCATTTTTTTGTGAAACATGTTCGACCTACCTCTGAGAAAAGAATACTTCTTCTATTAGACAACCGAGAGTATTAGGTATTAGGTGAGTATTAGGTTCCCAGCTTTAGATTACGCCAGCAAAAATAACGTCGTAATTTTATCCTTGGCCCCACATACAAATCATAAAATGCAGCCCATGGCGTGATACAATGCGGCCACAAACTGAAGTAAATGTTCAACAAAATGGGAGCATTTCACTGGATCCCAAACCTGGATGCTCAACTTCTCACTGCATTCCCTTTATGTTGAGACCTATACCAAATCCTGCCAAACCAATCACTACTCGTAAAAGGTAATCACAAAAATAGAAAATATTAACCAGTTCACCGATCAAGAAAGACCAAAAGCAGAAATTTAAAAAATAAAGTTAAGAACGTTATTGAAAGACTGAATGATAAATCATAAAATGTTCCTAAACAGATTGTTAAAGATATTACTTTGCCCGGGAATCCGGGCAAAGTGAATAATTTCGTTCTTAATACAATTTTATTTGCAGTTAAAAATTGTTCAATTATTAAGGGTAACTGATGATGGTTATTGTGAAGGAAATAAATAAAGACTGATTTGTGCTAGTTATTTTGTTTTTGTACCTTATACCTTTTCTGCTAAAGCCTTAAATATCTTAAGGTATACTCTTTGTCCGACCTTCCTCTATTTTTACTTTCTTCGGAAGTTTTCTAGTTAATCTGTAATGGTGGAGAAATAGAAATCCATAAGATGTAACGTTCAATTTGATCAAAAATTCATATTTTATAAAGGCAGGAAACAGTCGAAACTAATTTTTTTCAGTTGCAAGGTATAAAGTGGATTAAACAGAGATACGGGGATGAACTGAAAGTGATACGTTTAGGCCAAAAAAGTTATCTAGATGTGATAGAAAAATGCATTACCGAAGGATCTACTGTTCTATTAGAAAACATTGAAGAAAACGTAGACCCAGTTTTAGATACGTTGTTGGGGAGATATTTGATAAAAAAAGGAAAGTAAGTAATGTAAAACAATAGCAATGTGTCAATGGGTTTTCAAAATTAATATTCTTCAATCGTAATATTTTTAGGGCCATCAAAATTGGAGACAAGGAAATCGAGTATAATCCAAACTTTCGCCTAATTTTACATACTAAGCTCGCTAATCCGCATTATAAGCCTGAAATGCAAGCACAGGCCACGCTTATCAATTTCACAGTAACAAGAGATGGTCTAGAGGATCAGCTCCTAGCAGAAGTTGTGAAGGCAGAAAGACCAGATCTAGAAGAATTGAAGGTAAGATAGATAGATAGGTAGGTTACTCTCCAAGTGAGTGGGTTTATTTGATTCTCTACTGCAAGTCGCATAGGTTCATTGTGGCTCACACCTACAGTAAATATCCATTACACATCCCTATCGGATGTGCGATATTTTCCATGGATATTCATAAGCCACCAAATTGACATCCGATGGATATCAAATTTTAAGCTTTGATTTAGACATTAATCGTACAATAAAGGGAGTTCATCTGGGCCTTCTTAGATGTCCTCTTTAAACCATCCATGGATGTGAATTGGATGCGAACTGAATCTGTGGTGAAACAGGTTTAGACGTTTCCTTCAAGTCATAATTTCAGTAGTACCTATCACTATTCGTATCTGACTTAATATTGAAATATTTTGCTATAATCATTTTGATAAGTTACCTTAAGTAAAGGCAACTGAACTCTAGAACCCTCTACTTGATATTCAGGTAATATATTTTTTAGGCAGATCTAACCAAACAACAAAACGATTTTAAAATTATTTTGAAATCATTGGAAGACGACTTACTGTCTCGTCTGTCTTCAGCTGGAGGGAATCTTCTGGGAGACACGACGCTGGTGGAAAATTTAGAAACCACGAAAAGAACAGCTGCAGAAATAGAAGTAAAAGTTGCTGAAGCTAAGATAACTTCTAGTGAGATAGATCAGGCACGAGAACATTATAGACCAGCCGCAGCTAGAGCTAGTTTATTGTATTTCATTCTGAATGATTTGAATACGATCAATCCGATTTATCAATTCTCTCTGAAGGTAAGTCTGAAAAATTATGATGATTTCACTTCCCATTTTGTCTGAATGGGAAAAAGTGACTTTCGTGTAACTCAATGTTCATATAAAAGAAGTTATTTCGAAAATAATTTTTCCTTTCGTGTAATTCAATGTTCAAGTGAAAGTAGTTGTTTTCAAAGTATTTTTGATTCTAGTTTGTATGTGAAATAAACTTTCATGCACGATCCACATATCTTCATGGAGGGTTTTTATTATAGTTATTTTCTTTTCTTCTCTCTTTGGGTGTTTTCCACATTTGTTGTCTAGTGATGGAGAAGTAGAAAATCAAAAATCATTTTTTTCTCAAGAAATGTATAATACCACTTGTATTATTTACCGACAAGAATGTTTGAATTAACTTATGGGGTTTAAAATAGATGGCACATTCAATAATGTGATTAATATATATTTTCATCAAGTGTGGGTCAATTCTATCAAAACAAGACTATGATTTCTACAAACACACTATTCGCAAATATTTCTTTTCAAAATCCCAAAAGAAAAATTTTGCAATTATTTCAGGAATATGTTTTCTTGTCAAGCTATTGATTTGGTTTTCAACATCTTTTTTTTGCAGTACTCAACTTGCATTTAATGGTTAATCATAGGTATGTAATCAAATCTTTGTCTTTCTCAATTGATTACATTTTTCAGGCATTTAGTGTTGTTTTTCAAAAGGCGATAGCAAGAGCAGACCCTGCTGAATCTGTTATAGACAGAGTGAACAATTTGATATCTTGCATATCTTTCTCAGTTTTCCAGTACACTACCAGAGGTTTATTTGAATGCGACAAGCTAATATTTGCTTCTCAGATGACTTTCCAGGTAAAAAATATGTGAAAATACTTTTCCCGTGATTTCACATTAGAAACAAATATTTTCCGCTAATTTTTTTGAAGATTTTACTAATTAGTGAAGAAATACTAGCAGCAGACTTGGATTTTCTCTTGAGATTCCCAATAAAACCACACGTAACTAGCCCAGTAGATTTTCTATCCAACACTAGCTGGGGTGGAATCTGCAGTCTTGCAACCAAAGACGAGTTCAGGAACTTAGACAGAGATATCGAAAACTCTCCAAAACGATGGAAGAAGATCGTAGATTGTGAGTGTCCAGAAAGAGAGAAATTCCCACAAGAATGGAAGAGCAAAACAGCCTTGCAAAGATTGTGCATGATGAGAGCTCTTAGACCCGACAGAATGATATACGCAATGATGTAAGTCTACATACATATTTATTTCCCTGAAGAATATTCAACCCTATTATGAGGTGGTAATCGGAAAACGTTTCAATTTAAAAAAAATTAAATATTACTCTTGAAATGACACATTTTGAATTTTTTTCTTAAATAAAATAGAATCCTTGTTCACTTACAAATTTTAACACATATAGTTTGCCAATGATGGAAAATTCGGTAACATTCTTATGTGAATTCTAAACAATACTAAATTATTAAAATTAGTAATATCAGGATATTACCTTTCGAGAAGATATTACCTCTGGTAACCAAGTACATGAAAAAAAACATTGTTGAATTTTTGAAAATGTGGTGAAAACTGCATTTGTGAAACATAGTGATGAAGAATACATATTGATGTTAGGCCTAGAATCAGATCCACAATCAGTGCCAGAATCCTTCACACCCATCATGTGGTTGTATTGACTTCAGACCTTCTAAAGAAGAAAAAGGTCACAGGTATACATGAGTGAAGGTCCTCAGAGTTGCTAAATAACACCCCATTTATTGACTTATACTTACGTATCAGCAAAAGTGATATGTCACTTTAGGCCTTCATACAAGCAGTATGGTCCTAACTTAGCAAAAATACTGATGTGATCAACTTGTTCAAAATCGATAATAACAGCAATTGTTTCAAGAAGAAACACCCCAGTTACTATCTAGTCATAATCATAAACCATGAAGAATTGGAATCCGAATTGCTAAACTAATTGATATAATTTTTCTTTCGCAAAAAGTTCAATGGCTTTCCAATTGTAGCAATTGTTAACCATACATGCATCTCATGTGTTGTCGACTTGCTTCTTCCTTCAAGTATGGGCGACCTGTCCTCTGTCCTTTTTCTCCCTACCACTTGGAAACTGCCTGAATTGTCCATTTCTCCCATGTCTTTCAGAATGATCTACTTGTTTGTGAAAGTGAAATGGAGCAAAAACACAAAAATTACTCTCACTACTTAAACATGAATAAAATATCTCACGAGGATACAATATAGCGAATATATATACAAATATATTACATTTTCTATACCTATTAGAATCTCTGGAAATCAATAAACGCAAATAATCCAATTTCAATTCAAACCACCAACAAGAAGTTCGTCATAAAATGGCATTAATTAACATAAACTACAATGTAATAAGTAAAAAAATATGTATTATTTTGTCAAACATTCATATTTATAAAATAGTTTATAAGTGCCTTTATTAAATTTAACTTACATTGTTTCCAAAATGCTGTTTGGTAATACGATTGAAAAGAAATACAAATGAGTGCCAAAAATAAATAAAATTAATTTCACAAAAAAATTGAGAAAAATGTACAATAATAGTGAGTACTTCTACCTCTGGCTCTAAGAAGTTCTGCAGAACAACGAGTCATGCTTTCCACCAAATTTCTAATTATTTGTTGTGGTAACCGCTCGTAAATCGTCGAAAGAGCATCTGCAACTTGGTACAGATTTTGGAAGGGTTGATGGTCTTTCAAAAGTCCTTCCAGTTCATCCCAGAGCTGCTCAATAGGATTTAAATCCGGACTATTAGCTGGCCATCTCATGACATTAATATTGTACTCCTGTAGGAAATTTCTCACGACCCTGCCTACGTGTGGCCTGGCATTATCTTATTGTGAAATAAACCCAGCGCCCATATTTTGGGCAAATAGGACGACATAAGGTTCCAATATCTCCTCTATGTAACGGACAGCCGTTAAAGTCACTTCCCGAAATACCACAAGGTCCTTGTGTCCTGTCAAAGTTATACCAGCCCATACCATTATCACAGTCATCCAAATAGCGTTCACCGGGACGTCTCCATACCCGAACACGTCCGTCATTGTTGAATAACATGATTTTTTTTTCATCTGTAAACATTACATTGGCCCACTGCTCTAAATCCCAATTACGATGCTCTTGACAAAAGTTTCTACGATTTCCTCGATGAGCTGGAGTAGATCTAGAGGCTCTAGCAGGTCGTCTTGCATGGAGTTGTACTTCGTGAAGTCGGTTTCCTACCGTTTGGTTCTAAATTCGCGTTCCCTTAGCTTCTATAAGGCGATTTTGCAGTGTTATAGCAGAATCGGTGCGACCCCTAATTGCCCAAAGTCGTAACAAACGATCTTCTCTGCGGGTTGTGGCCCTTTGTCGATTGAGATAAGGAGCTTTTTACTATGCCGTAAATTTGGCAACGATTCCAAGCTCTGGAAACCGCAGAAGCATTAAGCATTTGGGCTACACGACGCCTTGAATACCCTACTTCAATCAATGCCACTGCTCTAGAAACTTGAAATTCGTTGAGGTACACTCTACGTATCCTCCTTCTACCCAATACATCAACATTCATTGTTTAAATTTTAAAATTTAATACCTATCACGAACTAAAGTAAAGTGAAACTAAATACCGAATTTTTCATATTAATGATTTTGTAGCTAAAAGTACAAAAAAAGTGAACACCAACCGAATGGAACATGATAAGAATTAGTATGGAGTACACACCAGAAGTTTTTATCATGAAATAATACATATTTTTTTACTTATTGGATTTTAAGAACGTGTCTCTATATTCATTCTGAGTAGTTTATTTGCATATTTTTCTAGAAATAATATTGTTTTAATTTGTGCTTTCTAAATCTGTTTTGCCAGAATCAACAATTTATCTGATTAGGATTCGAAATGCCAATATTGAATCTGTTTCCTAGAAGTAATATTGTATTGTATTGTTTATTCAAAATCTACCAGTTTTACTAGATTCATTCATTAATCTAATAAGTTTCGTTCTTACCAAATGCTGTATAAAAGATATTGTAGAATAGTCTGATGTAACAGTAACTGATGAATCTACTTTGTAACGAAACACGTTTCAAATGACATTTATTTTGAAAATTATATAATTATTATTATGGATGACATCTGGTTTCAACTCTCATCATTGACCAGCATCATTGCTACCTTCACCCTTCTTTCTGTTGGGTCCAGGTCAGTCTAGGATCTAGTATCTCTTCAGGATTTCGGGTTCGAAGGCCGTGGATTTTTGGAATACCTTCCTGACGATGACTCATCGGATATTAATCCAGGATCTATAAACCTCTGAAAAAGCTAGCCACGCGTGCCAGCGAAATGTCAGGAAGACATTCCAAATATCCACGGCCTTCGAATCCGAAAAATAGTGAAACTGAAAACCTCTGCCGGGAAAACCTTAACTATTTTGTCAGATGTATCTCTCCACCTCAAAGTTTCAGAGGTCCTAGTCCCCCTATTTTGGTCCTATTGGTCGATTTTGTTGGATTTGTGCTTAGCCCTTCCATCTAGTTATAATATTCAGAGCCTGCTGCATGGGTCCCTTCCCTATATTATTATATTTGCCCTGGACTAGAGTGAGGCTTCATAACAGTGGGGACCAAACCCTTCTGAAGACAACCCCTTACCACCAGTGTCACTCAAGTTTATTTTTCTGCAGTTGATAAGTCATTCTTTGTTTAATATGAGTCTATCATCATTTTAACGAGTACTAGTCCAGGTGAACCTGTCGTTATAAGTTGCAGCAACGCATCTTGAAACTCTTACTTTTCAACACAACTCTTTCGATTTATAGTTGATTTGTAGGAAATTCTCAACTGTTTCAGTTGCATTTTTCGTAGTATCAATCTGTAGTTCAGTTATCAATGCGGCGTTTATAGTAAGACGTTTACCTAGCCTCGTGACGTGCTACATATTGGTGTTGTTAAATGGTGTTACCCCAGTTGCTCTTAAATTCTTTTTGTCTTTGAGACCTGAATCGAACTCCTTCTAGAGAACGAAAACTTTCTCAACCTGTTATATGGAAGTAGTTGCAGTGTACGAAGGTACTACATCTACTTATGGATTTTCGCTAATATTTTTTTAGGGCATTCATAGAAGAGAAGTTAGGATCCAAGTACGTAGAGAACAAAACAGTAGAATTCGAAAAGTCCTACGAAGAAACCAGTCCGACGACACCAATTTTTTTCATCTTATCCCCAGGAGTCAACCCTTTGAAGGACGTGGAAGATCTCGGCGAAAAAATGGGTTTTACCTCGGACAGACAAAACTTCCACAATGTCAGTTTAGGTAATTTTAAGGAATGAACATCTATCACTTGGTTGGGTTCAGTCTTTCCTTCCCTCCCAAAAATATAATAACATCACTTAGCGCATGTAAAATTGTGAATAATTCAATTATAAACTTTACTAAATATATGTTCAAAAACTTCTGCTAATTTCAGGTCAAGGTCAGGAAGAGGTTGCTGAAAAAGCCATGGAGGTTGCTGCAAAATATGGTCATTGGGTGGTATTGCAGAATATTCATTTAGTTAAAAAATGGCTTCCTCTACTGGAGAAGCAGCTGGAAAAGTATGCCGAAGGATCTAATCCTAATTACAGAGTGTTCATGAGCGCGGAACCTGCTGCTAGTGCGAGTGCACATATAATACCGCAGGTACTGTAATATCGTCGGAATATCCTACTATCCACTTCTGAAATTCAATAATAACATTCAATTTTCAGGGTATTTTGGAATCTTCTATTAAAATAACGAACGAACCTCCTACGGGCATGCAAGCAAATCTTCATAAGGCACTCTCCAACTTCAACCAAGAAACTCTGGAACAATGCGGCAAGGAGGCTGAATTCAAGGTCATTTTGTTCTCCCTTTGCTACTTTCACGCGGTAGTAGCAGAACGCAGAAAATTCGGACCCCAAGGGTGGAACAAAATATACCCATTCAATGTTGGTGATCTCAATATCAGCGTTTTTGTTCTCTTCAACTATCTAGAAGCTAATTCGAAGGTGCCTTGGGAAGATTTGAGATACTTATTCGGAGAAATTATGTATGGTGGTCATATAACTGACGACTGGGACAGGCGTTTGTGTATAACTTACTTGGAAGAACTTCTCCAACCCGATTTGGTGAGATGTTATAACTTGGTTGAAGTTTCATTGAACCGTCAGCAATCCAATTTCTGATATCATGTTCATGCTTCATAAAAAGGGCCTTAACCCACTTGATATGGCAAACCCAAAGATTTTTGTAGCTATCGCTTTCAAGTTCAATTTCAGGAACTTGTTCAGTTGATAATTTTAATTTCAGGTTGATGGTGAACTTATGTTAGCTCCAGGTTTTCCAGCTCCACCCAACACCGATTACGTTGGTTATCACACTTATATTGACGATATGATGCCATCGGAGTCTCCTTATCTTTATGGACTCCATCCGAATGCTGAAATCGGTTTTCTGACCACCACAGCAGATGAATTGTTCAGAACAGTATTTGAAATGCAGCCTAGAGATGGAGGCTCAACAGGTGGCACCACGATCACGAGAGAGGACAAAGTGAGTTATGATAACATGTAATTGAAAAATAATATACAATACGTCCTTCTTCAAAATATTTCCCGAGAGGTACATGAGTTTGATAGACTGAATGTATAGGTGAAGCAAATGGTAGACGAAATGATGGAAAAACTACCAGAAGACTTCAATATGATCGAAATAATGGGAAAAGTTGAAGAACGAACTCCATATGTCATTGTAGCCTTTCAAGAATGCGAAAGAATGAATCATCTAACCGGAGAAATTAAAAGATCCCTAAAAGAATTGGAACTGGGAATCAAGGGGGAACTAACCATAACATCAGACATAGAAGATCTAGAAAATGCTCTGTTCTTGGATCAGGTACCTCCGATTTGGGGTCTTAGAGCTTACCCATCATTACTGGGTCTTACATCATGGTTTGTGGATTTATTATTGCGTATAAGGGAACTCGAGACGTGGTCCACGGATTTTGTGGTGAGTAGTTTTCGAAAAAGTAGGAAATGAACTTCGTTCACATTTGAAACATTGGAAAGAAATTCAAAATCGAAGGTTGAGTCAAAATCGTAGTAATTACAATCAAACAATAATTTAGTCGAACCTTCATTAACTATTATGAACATTGTGAAGACAGCGACTCTCATGTAATGGAAGAAAATAAAACTTTATCAAATGTTGGGTGTAGTAACCTCAGAATTCATAATAATGGAACTGAAAGTATTTATAATATAATATCTCCAAATATCAGCATGCATGCTAATGTGCAATATTTGGAAGGTTTCTATTTGTTATTAGAAATCGTTGGTAATTCAGCTTCAAAAATGGCGTATTTTTCTTTACTAAATTCAGTTATTTCCGATATAATTTTAATATGGGATCATCAGTACACTCACTAAAAATATAAAATGCCATAAATACTTTCAGAATCCTTGTCAACTCGAAGTTTCAAAAACACTCTCGTCTTTCCTTTATTCAGTTTGGTATCAAAGCATTCTGATGTCCATAAATGTGTCACGATATCTGTAAAAGTATCAAATTATTTCACCTATATGTTACGATTATGCAAAAAGAATTCACCTAACCGGAATCTTGAAAATAATTAACGCAAAAATAATTCTGTCAACTTGAATCTATACGCTATTCATCTAAGCAACAGAGTGCTCCAAAACATTATCATGCATGGTGCATGATGCCCACCCAAGGCTGGGTGTACAGAGTCGCACTAAGGAACGACCAATTTTTGTTTGATAATATGCGGCTGGTTATAGGAAATTGTTTTAGGTGGAGTGTAGAGATACCAATCAGCAGTTTCTTCAGCTTCATTAGTACTTGACATTTCAAAAATTTCAAACTTTAAAATATCTTATATGTAGACACCACAGGCGTTAAAACGTAACAGACTACTCCGACACTGTAGGTAACATGAATTCCGCCAGCCGATTGCAGTTCAATCTGATTGGCCAGCGTTTAGAGGCTTGTTTACTTTACCCACTAAATGCAAATGTACGTAGTGATCATGCTTTGATCACGCATCTATCTTTGTTTGAGTTACATTTTTGTTGAATGGACAAAGTTTAGCTACATTATCTGCCATATTAGTACAATAGCACGATACTAGTACATATCTGTATCTGTAGAGTAGGGAAGGTGAGTGTAGGCTCACAGCACTTAGACCACATGTGACCCATTGTACATCCTTCCGAGGAGTTGTCCTCCTAGGTCATATTCCATCCTGTCCTATCCAGGAAGGTGGACAGGTCACTAGGAGACATCTCCTTCATATCGGCAGGTGTAAGCCAAGACTAGCCGAACACACACTCTTTCATTGACGATAACTCCGGACACTCGCATAGGACATGCCTGACAGTTTCATCTTCCTGTTCACACAGCCTGCATAGAGGTGTGTTCACTAGCCCCATATTATGGAGGTGTTTCCTTAGTTGACAGTGGCCAGTCAGAAATCCTACTGTTAGGCGTAGGTTTTTCGTGGTCATCGCCAGATATTTCTCCGGAGCCAGCTTCCCAGAGTCGCCCAGGGTGATCCTGGCAAGACTGTATCCTTTGATTACATCCCATCTCTTCAGGGATTGAACATGGGATTGAACATTAGTTCCGTAATTGTCGAAGTCATCAGGCCGTACGTGTCACTAGGTCCTAAAATTCTAAGTCCAGCCGCTTCTTCGGCTAAAGAGTCGGCAATGCGATTACCTTTACTCCTGTCGTGCCCTTTAACCCACCTCAGAATAATGGTATTATCTACCGATGCTTTGGCTAAAACTTGGTGGTACTCTAGTACTAGCCCTGAGGTAACACGTTGTCTGTTCAAGACTAATAGGGTTTGTCTATTATCAGTGCAGATTGTTATGTTTTTGCCAGAAATTCCTTTCCTGGTCATTTCTTCTGTGGCGATTGAGATACCAGCCAGTTCTGTTTGAACCACGCTGGTATTTTTTCCCATTACCCACTTAATCCTTAGCTTTAGTGATCTGGAGTAAACTCCACATCCTGAGCCTTCTTTAGTTTTTGATCCGTCTGTATATATGCGTATTGCATTTGTAGCATCTGACTCTGTGCTCTGTTTCATTTGTATTTTGAAGGGTTTTTCAAACACAAACCTGGGTTCAATTGTATCACCGGCCGCCTGCAGCAGAGGTTGCGCAGTAAGCGCTTCTCGCCTTAGACTCAGCCTCAATTGAACCATTCCTACTTCGAGGTTTACTCCAGCCGTGCGTAATCGTAACATGGCCATTATTCACGCAACTTCCTTAACGTACAGGTACAGAGAGGTCAGACCAGTAATTAATTTTATTGCCGCGGTTGGTGTTGTTCTCATGGCTCCTGTGATGTTTAAACAAGCCAATCGCTGTATTTAATATAATTTTTGGATGGCCGTTGCTTGTAGAACTTTCGGTCCGTATGCAATGGCTCCGTACGTTAACTTAGGTCTTATTATTGTAGTGTCGATCCAGGTGACCACACGGGGTGAAAGACTCCATGTGCGTCCCACTGTCCTTCGGCATTGCTCATAAGCTACATATACTCTTTTTGCTCTACTCTGTAGGTGAGAGTTCCATGTTAGCTTCCTGTCAAGGATAGTACCAAGGTATTTCACCTCTTCAGGGAACTTTAGTTTGCTTTTGAAGATTTCGGTAGGTTTTAAGCCCGATAAACTTCTTTTCCTGGTGAAAAGGACCATCTCAGTCTTCTTGGAATTGATCGACAGTGAGTGTTCCTTACATCATATTTCTATTAATTTGAGCCCATCCTGCACTCTATCGCACAGTGTGTTCACAAATTTGCCGGTCTGCAAGATAACTATGTCATCTGCACATGCAATTGTGTAGAATCCATTAATGTTGAGGTGATTAATCAGGGTATCCAGTACATAAACGAAATATTCAACATTTAATATTGTTCAAGTAGGATATTTCTCGATTTATTGTTTTTGCTGCAGCTTCCTGCATCAGTATGGCTGGGGGGTTTTTTCAATCCCCAATCACTATTAACTGCTATCATGCAGAGTACCGCAAGACGAAATGAACTACCTTTGGATAAAATGTGTCTGCAGTGCGATGTTACGAAAAAACAGAAAGAAGAGTTCACGTAAGTTTGTATTATTCATGAATTCGGAAGGGTGCTTATCAATATTCGTTGTATTAGTTAACGCAGTTTCACTTGAACGTCATATATTTCTTCACAAATCTGTGAAGGCGAACTACAGTAGGTGCTAGTACCCACATACATCATAAAACGACGATAATAATTGGGTAATTGGGTATGTGAATAAACTCGGATCAACTTTAGAGGAGAAATATAAGCAAATATAACAAAGTAACTGAAAATTGAACAAGATCATTTTGAAAGCCAAAAAAGAATACATTCAGTTTTAAAAATCCAATATTTGAGGAATGGAAATTTAACATGTTCAATTTCAAAACCCAAACTTAAAAAAGAATGATTTTTTTTCTGAATACCCAATATTCTGAAAATGAACATTGAACAAGATGTTTTGTCTTGGAAATTGAATGAAAATATTTGTGATTAAATTGATCGAAGTAGTAGTTAACTACATGGTAGGAGATCATCATGAAAAATGAGAAATAAAACAGTAACGTTAGTAACGAATCCAAGTAGTAAAGAACATAGAAAGTTTCATTTCTTATTTTCCATGAAAATTTTTGAAATGATTTAAAATAATATAAGATATTAAAAAACTCTATAAAAAATATGTCAATATTACTTGATGACTGAAATGCGCAAACTGGACCCTCAATCTCCAAGCAGAGCCAAGAAATAAAATGAATCATCCACTGAAAGATCACCAGTTTCCCGCTAACACATTCCGTGGAGCGGGAAACCAGTTTTTTAACAAATAGAATGAACTCACCCATCATTTTGCTAATTGGCCTCCCCATCATTTTGTTTATAGTTACTTCCACTTGGTTAATCAAACAGTATACAGGGTATTTGGGGCCTACCGTAACCACGATATCTGGCGTTTTTTTTCCAGGAGTGCCCCGAGAGATGGAGCTTATATCCATGGTCTACACATGGAAGGAGCCAGATGGGATGTCCAGACGGGCATCATCATGGATTCGAGACTGAAAGAGCTCTTTCCCGCCATGCCAGTTATCAATGTAAGAGCAATCACGCAGGACAAGCAAGATTTGAGAAACATGTACGAATGCCCGGTGTATAAGACCCGAACGAGAGGGCCCACATATGTTTGGACGTTCAATTTGAAAATCAAAGACAAACCGGCCAAGTGGACCTTGGCAGGAGTTGCTTTGTTATTACAAACTTAACTTATAATATTTTAGCGGACTTTTTATGTCCTTCCACAAAAGCCAATTATTCAGTATTAATAGTTGAACACTAAGAATATAAAATGCAATAATTCGTGTATTTTTTAACCAAACTTTTCCGAACTGTTGCAGTTTTGGAATGAACTAGAAATTTCAGATAATAATGAGAGATGATGGTAGAAATTTGTAATTCACAGTTTTGAATCGCATCAGTTTTCTAATTTTAGCACCGAGACCGTGTTTTTACAATATCCTCATTTAAAATGTTCTTATTTTTTTTCATCAAATATTGGCAGTGCATAAAAATCATAAATTTTTTCAGAAATTCAATGTTATCCTCAATGTATGATTGTTGGATTTTCATTCTGTGACATCAATAATAATAATAATGTAGCATCGTTCAATCGCTTTCCAAAGAACTTTGCTGCTCTAGGCCCAGATGGGCTGAACACTTATTGGTGGAAAAAACTTACAAGCACTCACCGCCATCTGGCCAGAGTTTTTAACTCATGGCTGGACGGAGAGCAGCCGATTCCGGACCGTTCTCATCCCCAAAAGCGAAGATTTGTCGATTCCTAAGAATTACAGACCGATACATGCCTGATTTCGTGTTATAAGTTGTTTACAAGCATCTTGTATTGTTATGCAGGAATCCTGCTAGTTTTTACTTTCACATAATTGAATCAGTCGTTTGAGAAAGTCATCTTATCCGTGAACTGAAACTTATGGAAAAACTATAAAAATGTTTCAAAATCTTTCGAAATTTGATAACGAGAACATTTCAAAAGATCTGTAATGCTTTCTTCGCCCGGGACAGGTGGGGACAAAAAGGGGTTTCTCATATGACTAATTCAATTTCCGTTCACCTTCATCTGAACTTATGATTGAGCTGTCATTCAATTCGTAATTTCACACAGAGAAATTAACGATTTGAGCCAATTTTTTCAGCAGGAATCTTTTTTTAAGCCTTCAGAGGCTTCAAAAAAGGAAAAAACATCCATGCTCCAATTTTAAAAACTATCAAGGTTTTTATGTAAACTTTGTAAAATTGTTAATGATTTAAAGCACAATTGATCAAAAATTTTGCTCTGCTACCTACCAACTACCTGATTTTCTTCTTTTTTTAATATTCAGATTTATTGAGTTTCAATATTTTTTATTGTTAAAGCTATATCTAATTGGGCATTGCCTGAATGAACCGAACTATCTGTTTCTACCTGTATTTTCACTGCTCAAATAAACCTATTAATCAAGGGTCTTTTTTCAAATTTTGAATATCTGCAATAGTTATTATATTCGCAAAAAACAAATTCCGCTTTTTTTCTCTCATTAAATTTTTATAAGTTAAAAACTGTCTGTCACTTAATCCTTAGCTTTAGTGATCTGGAGTAAACTCCACATCCTGAGCCTTCTTTAGTTTTTGATCCGTCTGTATATATGCGTATTGCATTTGTAATTTTTATAAGTTAAAAACTGTCTGTTCGAACGGATATATGAGCAGAGAGGGTCGAAGAGAGGAGTCGCTGGATCGCTGGATGTAAAGAGAACCTGCTCATCGATAGATGTGTAATGCAGGACTCGATACAATATAAGCGTAACCTCTCTATGGCCTGGCTCGATTACCGTAAGGCATTTGATACAATATCGCATGAGCTTATCTTGCATTTGCTCAGATGCCTTGCGGTACCCGACAAAATAGTGATATGCATTGAATAACTGATACCACTCTGGCAAACTCGCTTCACAATAACATCGGGCCAAGCCAGAGCCAGAGTGGACTCGGGAGAAGCTGTATCAACTCGACGTAAAGACCCAAAAATGATGCATCTCTATAGGAATTTGCATCCCAAATCGTCCATTCCACAGTTGTACTTCCCCCGACAACAGGGAGGCCGTGGTCTTTTGAGTTTGGAGTGTATACATGACAGAATGGTACTGAGAAAGCAGGAATTGGAGCATTTCTCTTTAGAGCAGCTGCCCGAGCAGCTGATAAACTCGGTTTAGTTTTCGACACTGAACGAGGTGACCACAACTCTGTCACCGAGTTGGAACCCGTTCAGCAAAAAGCTCATATATTAGCCGCAGAGATCTCCTCACTTCTGCGGAAACAAGGATAAGCCAATGCTGGGGTCTTCTTCAATAGCATTGGAGACCTTGGCTTATCAAAGCGCCTGACTTTCGATTTCCTCTGGTCGAGTGGGCTGAAGTCGAAAACTGAGGGGTTCATCATGGCTTGTCAGGATAGTGTCTTCAACACCTCAGTCTACCGCAGTCGCGTGATGGGTTCGAGACCCTGATGCACTTGTTATCAGCAAGTCCAGCATATGCGGCTCGGCCTATATCCATCGACATAACGCGGCCCTAAGAAAGCTATACTACCATCTACGACACTCTTATAGTATTGACGATACACCGGTGTTGCCCTACGTTCCGGGGGAGAATCCGTTGTGGGGAACGATAAGTGCCGAATTTATTGGAACTTTTCGTTCCCCACCCTCAGGCTCATACAAGCTAATAAGCCTGAGCAAGACGATATTTGTCGTGGAGTGACGGCTCGTGCATTGAGGAACAGGGGAGGCTAAAGTCATAAAGACTATATAAATACACACAGAAAAGCCCGCCGGAGGCGCGAAAATTTTTTGGGATACCGCACCTTTTCAAAGCAAAATACGTAATATTTGCTTAAATGCAAACAAAAATTATGTATTGCCAAAAATTATACGTATAAAACTTACCATCAAGAAACACTGAAACGATTTACCGAAATATTTTTCAGTCCCGGTCAGTCATGGCATCCCGTTCGAATTAAATCAAAACAAACGCAGTCGTACACTAACGAATACCAACTGGAGGCTAGCCTCCTCTAACCCTATAATTTCTGCAACTAAAATTACAAATCGGGACGTATGTCGCTGGCTGGATCGGTCTCGCGGAGCTTGTGTTTTTATAAGCGGTCGGAGGCTTGGCTCCCTTGCAACGTATCAACGTATAGCATTCATTATTTCGGGTTGATGGTTTCTTCGTTATTCGTTTGAGGGCGGTGCGTTTGAGGATTGTTGATGCAGGATACAGTGTGGTACGTACTACGTAGTGAGTGATAGTGTTTTTTCGAGCATATTATGTATTTATATTCAAAATGAATGGTGAAGTAATGATACCCAAGCATTCTCAGAAACAAATAATCAAAATTATTTGTCAATATCTTTTGATTTATTGCGATGACGAGCCGCCGCTGGTTTTGACTCACCTTAGGGCTCATCGGTGATGCTAGACTGAACAACAAATGGATTTCTGGACTCTGCTGTACAAGCTTGGGTAAGTAGAAGCGATGACATCTTCTCTGTTGGGTTCTAGTTTTATCTAGTTGCCTTGTAGTGAAAGCTGCAGTGAAAGACAGTAGATGTCGGTCGATACCTAAGCTTTGCTTTGCAAAATATCGCTTTGGAAAACCTCGTTTATTTTTGATAATCATGGATTGAATCTTCTGTCGATCCCATAGATGTCGTCTTTGTGAAGGAAGATATTATCGCTCCTACTTATCTATTTTGATACTTTGTATTCTTGTTAATTTTCTTCACCTGTATGTATGTATGTTTGTTTGTCAGTTTGTTTGTAACTCCAGAATTATCGACATTATTGCTTGATCTATTAGCGGGCAGATGGCACTGTACGTAACCTCCTTGATATAATTCGAACTCACTTTACATGTATTTCTTCATTTGAAAAAAGTATTTTTTTTAATTAACATGCTTTTATTAGCTTCACCTGTATGTTTGTTTGTTTATAACTCTCCTTTTCATTTATTCCCGTTAGAATGCTCGGGATCTGTATTTGACATAATTATCAACATTATTGCTTGATCTATTCGCGGGCAGATGGCGCTGTACGTAACCTCCTTGATATAATTCGAACTCATTTTATATGTATTTCTTCATTTGAAAAAAGTATTTTTTTATTAACACGCGCGCCTGCTGCCTTGTTTGTAACCCTCCTTTGCGCGCCTGCTACCTTGGGCTTGGTAGCTGATTTTCAGGTTCCCTCTCCGGAATCGGAAAATATCGATGGTCATTTTTCTAAACAATATACAGCTGGTTGATCCCAAAGTTTTGATAAAATAAATATAGTTGAAAAAGACTAAAGAAACACGCTTTTATAGCATACGAAACTGAAAAATAAAAAATAAATATAGTTAAAAAACTAAAAAACACGCTTTTAAAGAACATCGAACTAAAAAATTAAAAATATGTTTTTTTCAAATAAGCCTAAAACAATAACGAACGAAAAATACTAGTATTATTGTGAAAAAAGCGTGGGCGCTTTGTGCCATATTTTTTGTATATCAAGCGCTCGTCGCTTTCTTCACAATAATACTAGTATTTTTCGTTTGTTATTGTTTTAAGCTTATTTAAAAAAATATGTTTTTAACTTTTTAGTTCGATGTTCTTTAAAAGCGTGTTTTTTAGTTTTTTAAACTATATTTGGAATATCGGAACTTTCAACTCATGGACCATTACAGTTATTGAATGTATAGAGACCCAGATTATTCAATTTATTATTGAAAAAGTGTATTTGACAATAGATTACTTTTACTGCCACAGGCGTTATTCAAATTTTTGATATGATCTTCAGCTCGTTACTTATTGTTGATAATCAGTTCAAGTCAAAGTTTGACATTCAATCAAAATAAATTGTAACTCCTTCAAAAAAAAATAAACGGAAAGTTTACAGTTTTATTTTACCAATCATTATAAAACCTTCAGGTTGCCATTCATCTACGATATTACTTAGTTATCATCGTTTTCCAATCGATTTCTTTGTGGTTTCATGGTCAGCAAATCTGGATCGATGGAGATATCCGTATCAGCCGACGATATGAGAGTTAAACTAGTACCCATCCTTTCTCCCAAATCATCCTCTAAGAGAATATTGTCTTCCATCATGCTACTGGTCTGCATCGAGTTCGTTATTCTATCTGTGAGAAATATTTTATAGAAGCCAAACAGAAAGTAAACGATCAAATCGTAATACAAAGAAGCAATAATATATTGTTTCTCATGGTATATAGGGTGGATTATCGAAAATGTATTGCAAGTT